CACCACAAGGCTCTGGCAAAATCCCCCAATTTTCTTCTTGAATCTAATCTTTAGCTTCATCTTTGGGGGGGGGTGAGGGGGTAGAGCAGAGGAAGGAAGAAACTATCAAAATTAAAGAACTAGCCCTCGCTGGTTTGGCTCAGTGGATAGGTCGTCGGCCGGAGGACTAAAGGGTCCTGGGTTTGATTCTGGTTAAGGGCACATGCCGGGTTGTGGGCTCGATCCTCAGTAGGATGGCAGGATGCAGCCAATCAAGGATTCTCTCTCATCACTGATGTTTCTAGCTCTCTCTCCCTCTCCCTTCCTCCCTGAAATCAATAAAAAAAATTTAAAAAAATTAAAGAAATAATTTGTACTACTCAAAGTTAAGATGTTTTCACATTATTTTGGGTGGGTTTCTAACACAATCAAGTTCTGTGTGCTTTAACTTATAAGTTGGTGCCTCCAAAGCAGAGGGTGGGTAGAGTGTAGCTTTTCCTTTATCCCTTTTCTGGATACTCATTTAACAATAGGTTTTTATTCTCCAAAACTGCAGTGTCTCACATGGTAGCCATTTATACGCATATAAATATTTATAAATTTTAATTAAAATGAAATCAAATGAGAGGTTCAGTTCCTCAGTCACCGTAGCCACCTTTCAAGGGTTAAGAGGCACATGTGGCTAGTGGCTACCAGATGGAGAGCGCAGATCTAAAACATTTCCACCGCTTTCCAGAGCAGAAGTTCTACTGGACAGCACTGCTCTACATAACAGGTACTGATGAAGTTTATTTCCCTATACTCTATGCCAGCGGTTCTCAACCTGTGGGTCGAGAACCCTTTGGCAGTCGAACGACCCTTTCACAGGGGTCGCCTAAGGCCATCCTGCATATCAGATATTTACATTACGATTCATAACAGTAGCAACATTACAGTTATGAAGTAGCAACGAAAATAATTTTATGGTTGGGTCACAACATGAGGAACTGTATTTAAAGGGCCAGAAGGTTGAGAACCACTGCTCTATGCTCTCATAACATAGTATATATTCAGAGAGTCCAAACATTGAAATAGCAATCAAAGATAAATTTACAACTGCTATTAGACTGTTAGCCTTATCAATTAGGTCGTGTGATCTAACGATCTTCAACAGTCTCTCTCAGAGACTCCACTTTCAAAAATAACTGGATTTCTGGAAAGCCAAGCTTGAGAATCTGCAGAAAGGGCTGGGGAAAGCCTCTAGCCATAGTGCCACAAGGACTCAGAATTTTACATCTCACTTGCGCACACACTTTGCTCTGTGAAGGAAGTCTTAGTTGTTGTTGTTGTCTTGTTGCCTCTCTTGCCTACAACAGCTATATTGAGAGGGGTGGCATTAAGGCTAAAAGTGGTCTGACCCAATAATAGTAGTACTGGATGACGGCTCAAAGATTAATGCCACTCGCTGCAGGTCCCTTCAGCCTGGTTCCTGGGGATCTGGGTCGTTGCAGTACAATAAGAATTTGCATTCAGTGAAATCAAGGTGGTGCTTTTACATGGAAAGAGCCACGTCAGACAGTTATTAATAGGAAACACAAGAGAAACGTTCATTTGTAAACCAGAGGGAGGGTATTTTACACTGTCACGCTTCACAATGGTTGGTTTCCACTCGAAGAGCTGTCCTGTCCCAGGTGATTGACTGCCAGGAACAAGCAAAGCGCCCCCCACCCTCCCCAGCACAGCCACTCCAGCCAGGAGCTCACAGGAGGGAGTGAGGGGTGAGACCTTGCTAAGCCTGGACACTGGCTAATCTCTTCTGTAAATATCTTCTCAATTACTGTGGTAGGTTGGCAAATTCTTTTTCCTGGAAAGGAGTCATTTCAATAGGATGCTACCTTGGTAAGGACATTGTTTAACTGGTTGAAAACATATTTGTAAAAACGTACATGGATACACACAATGAGCTGTACAACTTGGTGTATTAAAAGCATGTTCTAAGCTTGAATTCTAATGATCAGAGTTCTGGAATGAAATAGTCACCTGAACTTACAGCGGCATGAAAAAGTCTTATTATCATTATGAACAGAAAACTAAATGCATAGCAGCTGGAAACATCACCTTACTTTGTTCCTTCTAAATCCAATTAGACCCCAGTAAAGGCGTTATATGCATATACTCCAAGGGAGGGAGATGAAATATTTGAAACCAGAGATCAAAGTAAGGCCACATATTAAAATAGCACTTTTCAAAAACAGTGACATTGTCTCCTTTGCTCATCTTCACCCAGGGAGGTACACAGAGCACCAACCGGAAGAAACTAAATAATAATTGACTTGTCCAAGCAGTTACAAAGAGAGATTTTTTGGCAAAGCTCTGATACAACCTAGAATTCCTGATTTTTCATTCTGATAAGTAATTTGATAGAAACTGAAAGTTAAAAGGGGAAAATATATTCTAATGACATACATGGCCCTTCTAACCTTACGACTTGTTGGCATCCCATGAAAGATTAAAATCACACGTTATGTTCCCAGGCCTTGCTGAGGCCCACGGGTCACCACACAGTTGCTTGCAGGTCTGGCGCTCTTTCTATGGCTAAGACAAGGCTGCGAGCGGCCCAGACTATGCAGTCACCATAGCAAGGGGGAGGGAGCAGAAGGATTACACTTGGTGAAACTCCACAAGCTCTAAGAAGACTTTACACTTCCTGGGGGAACTAACCAAAGAACGTTTGTTAGTTGGAGAGGTAAAATGTAGTAAAACCACCAAAACGATTATTGTAGACATTTTCTGTTTGAGGTGCATGCAAAGAATTTTGCATGAAGTAGAAACTAAGTAAAATATGTCCCAGATAAAAAAAGAAAAAAGAGAAGAATTTTAAGGACTGACACAAGGGGCATGTAAAGGATGAACATCAAATTTTAATCTTGAACCTTTTCTCCAGTCTTCAAATTATTAACATGATAAATGGCAATTTAATCATCACCCTATCAACGTGTAACAAGCCCTTGTTACAAAATCTCCAGCTATTGTCTCCCCCCAAAACCAATAGAAAAACCCATACATTATATTATCTAAGTGATCTATTAACAGATGAAATTTTAACCAACTTCATACCAGGAAACTATTAACAGAGGTACTTCAATCACATAGCTTAAAATATGGAGAAAAGACAGGTAAAAAAATTATCTTAACCTGTAGTAGTCTTTTTACTTTTTAAAATTTTTATAAAATACACTAATTTCCCAAAATAAAGAATATTATGACACATTGGTGTCAACTTACACAGATGAAAGCTGATGACAGCTTTTTTTTTCCTAACTAAAGTTCATCTCACCAAACCTTTATATATTACATGAATATCCAAGTAAAGTATTTTTTAAAAAATTCAACACACAGGAACATAATGTACAGTGTCTTATAAAAAAAATGGTTAATTTAGGAATGATTTCATTTTAACCACATCGTATATCTTTTTAAGACCATGAAACCTCCTGCTGTTGCAAGAAGACTTTTCTGTTCATGTTTCTATTTCCCAGTTGTAATTCTTAAAAGTAAGAAATAAAAAGGTTTTTGTGTTTGTTTGCTCATGAGGAAACTGTGGCAATGATTTCATTCACTCCCAGGCTGTCTTCCCTCCTTTTGTTTTGTTTTTTTAGGACTACTCAGACCCACGACTGCGTGGCACGGGAATGAAATGGGTAGAAGAGGCCGATGACATCAAAGAACAGATATAAAAAGACAGGCTCAGCTGGATCCCGCCACAATTGTAAGGTGTGGGCACCCTCCCTCGCGCCAAGCCTCCCAGGGCTGCGAGAGAACAGTGAGAGCAGCGGCCTCCTGGCTCACCCCGGACATCCCTCCGCAGCTGGGAGCACGGATAAAGGACCATTTTCACTAATCACTTGTGTCATGGCTGATGGATACCTTGGCCAGGGACAGAGGGAGTGTACTCAGAGAAATTGGTCAGTAGTGGCTTTGGGGTAGAGAAAAGAGTACTGTTTATTTTCCAGCTCCTGCATCGGTCAATTCCGAGCACAAACTCACCTCGACAGGAAATTGCAATGAAATATACAGACCATGCACAGCAGACATTACTGTGGGAACCCACCCAGCCACATGCACACGTGGGAAAGGACTCACGATGGGTGTATGTAAACGTTTCACAGTGTTTCTCACAGCCACTGACTTCCGCACGAGTGCATCACGGACCGCCACTATCTCACAAACGCTTCACTGTGTCCTGGGCATGCAGACCACTTAAGGTAAAACGGGCACACGACACTTCACAGCCATTCTCAGACAGGAGTCCAACTTCAGATTTTCCAATTGCCAACCAATGAAATCGAGCTGCTTCTCTTATAAAACTAAATTGATTTCTGAATACATTTTTTGTTGTTCAAGGGTTGTGCTTTACTTACTCTTCCTTATCGCTTCATTGCTTTCACTCTTGGAAAATGAAAAAAACCCACAAAATTAAATCGAGGACTAGGTCTTAAGGCGATTCCTGATCAAACCAGAAAGACAAGCAATCGTTAACGTCTCTTTTCTCAAGTTTCTGTCTCCCAACCCCAGGCCCTTATTGGTACTGATTCAGTTGCACATTTTGGTTTCCCAAAGAGGAAAACCAAATCAGAGAACTGGCATTTCTGTCTTGAAAAAGCAAAAGCAAAAAAAAAAAAAAGGCAAAAAAACACCGGTGGGGGAAGGGGGAGTTCATTCTCTGTTAAAAAGAATCTCTTGCTCTCAACAGGAGAGAATCCAGCTTCTCCTTGGCTATCATTTCATAAATTAATAATTCCTTAAAATCATAACCCAAAGAATTGATCTATAACGAGAAAAATTCAAGTTTAAAACAGCAAATAAATTAGTTAAGCCTTGTAAACAATTGTCCATTTTAGCTATATATCTTTAAAAAAAAAAAAAAAAGGTTTCTCTGTATAGTCAATCAGACAGTACAAGGCACACCTTCCACATCCGAATCCAGAGTGACAAAACCCACAACCACGCTCTCGTCACGCCGCTTGCTGGTCTACATGTGTTGGGGCCCTGGGGTCACACGCCTGTCCTCCGCTCGTCTCCCGGCCACCCAGAAGTCCACCGATGTGCTCTCCCCGTGACATCGCGCTGTGCTATCTTGTGGAGTGATAGGATTTGAAGCCTTCCCAAGGTGAGTCTCCTCAGATGTTCTCCACAAAGCTTCCTGGGAAAAGGCCAGTTTTTCGTTGCGTTGCAACGTGCCTTTGAACCAGCCGTCCTCTCGTTTTTTATGAACAAACACAATATCTCCCTCCTTAAGTTCAAGTTCGGCCTCACTCTGAGGAGGATAGGACACCACCACCCTGTGCCTGGAAAAGAGAGAGAGATTTTAGGGAAGGCCATTGCAAACAGTGACAAGAATGGTGTGCACAAGCAGAAGGGGAAGCAGTATGGGTTTTGTTGATAATGTCTGTAAAACCACTCAAAATACAACTGTGCGCTGTGAAGCAGAGACTTGGTATGGACGGTTTGGCTATGCTGAATGGATGACCCGGACTGGTTTATGTGAATGCCCTTGACAGAGAGCCATCTTGTCCCCCTCCAACGTTTATAGCACAGAAGAACAAGCGTATTGTCCTCTTTTCTCAAGAGGAAAGGAGTGGATTTGACTGGGGACACTGATGGCGCCAGCGCTCTCTGCTCTGCCTGCCTCAGGCCCAGGGGCCGTGCCCGGCCTCTCCTTCATGCTGTCAGCTCAAGTGGCCAGGCTCAGGCCTGCCTTCTGGACTTGGGTCTCCAAGGCGGCCTCTCTGTGTCCCTGACATTGGGGCTTGACAGGGGCGAGGCGGCAAATTGAAGGAAGCTCAACTGCTTTACACACTCAAATTCTCCCTCGGGCAGGTTGTCCTAAGGTCTAGGCAGGGAGGGGAAGACTGTGGCCACAAGTTCAGTCCAACACAATCAGGAACAAGGCTGACATTCGGATCTCTATTAGTGCAGCAACTGTGTCTGCTCTCCACTGGCTCCCAACTCCCATTAGCAGGAAAAGGAGTCATTACCACTTATAAACCCCAGAAGCCCTGTTGATTTAATGTTATTTACCCCATTTCCATGCTCCTTGGTCTACTTCTGCAAAATGATGGTTAGCAGCCACGGAAGCCAGAAAAGTGTGTGTGTGGGGGGGAGTGGGGGGTTGTTTTATGCTCTATATCCTTTTCTTTAAAATCCTCATCCGAGGATATTTTTTCCATTGATTTCTAGAGAGAGTGGAAGGAAGGGATGGGGGGCGGGGGAGAAACATCAAAGTCAGAGAGACATATCGATGGTTGCCTCCTGCACCTGCCCCTACTGGGGCTGGGGAACCTGCAACCCCGGTACATGACCTTGACCAGGAATCGAACCCACAACCCTTCGGTCCCTGGGCTGGCGCTTTAACCACTGAGCCACACCAACCAGGGCTATGCTCTATATCCTTTTATCCCTTTTTATTTTTCCAGCGTTAATGCTCCCCTTCACACCTCTCCTGCTTCTCCCAACCAAAGGGGAAAACGGTGGTGCATGGTAGTCAGCCTCCAAGCTGGCCCCGGGGAGCCTTGCCCCCTGGTAGTCACATCTAGTGTAGCCTCCTCCCACGATGATGGTGACACACGGTGTGAGTAATCATCCACCGTGAAAATGACCGTGTGCGGCTTTGGAGGCTGGGTCATAAAAGGCATGTGGCTTCTATTTTACTCTCACTTGGATCACGTGCTCTGGGAAAAAGCAAGCGGCCATGTTGTGATAAAATCCATCATCCCTATGGAGAGGACCACCTGGTGGGTACCTGCGGTGTCTTTCCAAAAACCAAAACTAGCTCGCCAATAGTGATGTGAGTGGGCCACCGGGGAAGGCAGTCCCAGCCCAGTCAAGCCGTCAGATGGCTGTAGCTCAGGCTGACATGCGGGGTGTGATCTCGAGAAATATCCTAAGCCAGAACCACCCAGATAAGCTGCTCCCAATTTCCCAACCCACAGAAACTGTGAGATAATAAATGTTTACTGCTTTCAGCCACTAAATTTTGGGGGTAACTTGTTACATGGCAGTAGATTATAGGACCCACTCTTGACTGTAAGTAAATAATGTTATGGCTTAAAACATGACCAGCAGAACAAATTCTATACACTGCCCCCAAACTCATAAAACCCATCAGAGCCTAGCCCAGGGGTGGGCAAACTTTTTGACTCAAGGGCCACAATGGGTTCTTAAACTGGACCGGAGGGCTGGAATAAAAGCATGGATGGAGTGTTTGTGTGAACTAATATAAATTCGAAGTAAACATCATTACATAAAAGGGTACGGTCTTTTTTTTTTTTTTAGTTTTATTCATTTCAAACGGGCAGATCCAGCCCGCGGGCCGTAGTTTGCCCACGGCTCTTTCAGAAGATGGCTAGTTTCACCAATCTCCTACCCATAAGAAACAGAATCTATTCGCATTAAGAAGGACCATAGGGAGAGTCCCAGGCTATTGCTCTATTAGAAAGGCATCTCTGCAAAGGTCGCAGTGATGGCGAACCTATGACACGTGTGTCAGAGGTGACACGCGAACTCATTTTTTGGTTGATTTTTCTTTGTTAAATGGCATTTAAATATATAAAATAAATACCAAAAATATAAGTCTTTGTTTTACTATGGTTGCAAATATAAAAAAATTTCTATATGTGACACGGCACCAGAGTTAAGTTAGGGTTTTTAAAAATGCTGACACGCCAAGCTCAAAAGGTTTGCCATCACTGGTCTAGTGGCTGCCCAAACAATTCCAGAGCTACTTTGGGCAACAGAGCAAATTATCCTCCAAGATCTGAAGCAAACGCACAGCAAGGGGGCTGGCTTATTGTTTCTAAAAAAAAAAGGTTCAGCCAATTCAAACATGAATATTTATAGACAACAAGGCTTAGGGTTCAATCAAACATGGGATGAGGGCGGAAGCATGGCACTGGGGAGATCCCTGGCCCGGGGTCTGACACAGCCGTGAAGGTCATTTGGAGCAGATTAACTTTGGGCCAATTATCTCAGATGTCTTGGTCTCAGTTTCCTTGTCTGTAGAGTAGGACTGTAGTGAGTTAAACAGGTGTTATCACGTAATGTAGTGAGATCATAAGTGTGATGCTCACATAGTTCACACCCCAGCATGATCATTCGGCCAAAGCAGGCAGGGGCCTGGTGCTCCAAGGAGATGAAGAATGGGCCAGTCAGGAGCTGGCCACCTCTACCCAAGAAACAGACTCAGAACACGAAAGGAAAACTGCCTGATAACGAGACTTGACAAACTTTAGAATGGTGTAGTTTAAGGTTTTGGAATTCTTTCTAAACCTTTACATCTGTAAAAGCAAGACCAATACTTTCTTCTTGGACTTATCTAAAGGAAGGAATCCAAATGAGATTTCTCAAGTCTGTTGCCAACATGCTAAAATTCCATGTAAAAAGCAATGTAAATAGTTGCCATTTGGGGAAAGTTAAAATTTAAGCAAAGCTTTATAATTCTGGGGGAAAAAGCACACAAGTGACTCAGATACCATTCAGAGTAGATGTTTGATGAAATGTGCTCCCCACCAGTTCTCTGCGAGCTGCCTTCAAGGGAAAATGAAACAAAAATAGTTCTCGAGAAACTTGAAGTGAATTAGATGAATATTTGCATCTTACAAAATGCACTAAACCAATTTTGTCAACATTTTTTTGAACTAGAACTGCTGCCGGGCTAAGAACATAATCTTCCTGCTCCGTTCCCAGGGGAAGCACATTTTCGCTGCTAAGTTCTAAGCCTCTGGGGGGTGGAAGGAGACACCATGCGCATAATGGAAACTGTGACACAGCCTTGATTGCATGAAGACTCCCAGGTGCAGCAGGCACAGACTCTACTTAGAAATCGTCCAGCTCCGATTCTGGCCTGGAGCCTTGTGAGGTAGTTTGCATACAGATTCCTAATACGAACTCTTAAAGCCAAATCCTGGGCACAACTGGCCAGCCATCTCAGGCACAGAGCGGGGTTGCCAAGTAGAAAGTTTACAGACCAACAAACAGATGTGAGGCGCAGCTGTGGCGGCCCTTCCCGTCTGCGGCTGCACCCTGCGCCTCACTCGGATCATGCTTGTCTTCAGTGGGATAGGGCTTTTGGGAAGGTCTGAACCTCAGGAGTCAAAGACTTCTCTCCCATGACCTCCATGGGACCTGCTGATCCACCCTCAAAATCTGCACCCCATCCATTCCTCTTTATGGTCACGGCCACCATCATTTGTGGACGAACTCATTACCTCCCACCTGGGCAAATAACCTACCTGTCCTCCCTGCCTCAGATCTCTTCTGGTCCCCACTCCATTCTACACTGAACACGTTCATTTCCTTAACTGTCAACTCCATTGGCAGCTATCTGTCGCTCAAAAATCGTTCCCATCTTCTCAATGCCGGCAAGGTTAATCCTCAGGCCCTCATGACCCGGCCTCCTCTTCATAGCTGCAGTTACTGTTATCTCCATGAGCGTACCAAACACTTGTCTAAACCTGAACATGTCCCCCAAATATGACCTTTACCTCCCCGACTCCATACCTTGGCTCATGGATTGTAGTGAGTTAAAAAGGCGTTAACTCAGGGGGAACTCCCTTTGACGACCTCTCTGCCCATCCAGACCCAATCAGGCCCTCCAATTCTCCCCGGTGAGACCTTCTCAAGGCCCATGACTGGAAGTAATTTCATGCTTGACCAGATTCCAGAGGCCTCGTGTATGTTTGTGTGTTTTTTTTAAATATATTTTATTGACTTTTTTACAGAGAGGAAGGGAGAGGGATAGAGAGCCAGAAACATCGATGAGAGAGAAACATCGATCAGCTGCCTCCTGCACACTCCCTACTGGGCATGTGCCCGCAACCAAGGCACATGCCCTTGGCCGGAATCGAACCTGGGACCCTTGAGTCCGCAGGCCGACGCTCTATCCACTGAGCCAAACCGGCCAGGGCTCGTGTATGTTTTTTATGGCACTTGGCCCAGTCTACATGGTCTTATTGCCATCTACATCCCTAGCACATTTATTCTACTAGACTGTAAGCTGCTTGAGGGGCGAGATGATGGTAATTCACTTGTATGTCTCATGCTACTTAGCACAGCACATATGATAATTCTTAATAAGCATGCTGAATGACAAAAAGGAAAGGCCTCATTATACAGCAAAACTACTTTTTAAAATGTATAAAGCTCCTTAAAAAGGAATGAAATTCTGACACATAGTACACAACATGGATGAACCTTGAAATATTATACTAAGTGAAGTAAGCCACCCAGAAAAGGATAATATCACCCAATTTCACACATCCACAGACTAGTCAAGCTCATAGAGACAGAAAGTAGAAGGTGGTTGACGGGGGCTGGGAGAGGGGATGGGGAGTTAGTGTTTAATGGGCACAGAGTTTTAGTTTAAGATGAAACTGTTTAAGATGATGAAAGAGTTCTAGAAATGGGTCGTGGCGATGGTTATACAACATTGTGGAAGTACTTAATGCCACTGAATTTGAACTGGAAGGAATGGCATATTTTATGTATATTTTTTATCACGATGTTAAAAATAAATGAATGAATGAATGAATGAGTGAATAAAAATAATGGAAAGATTAGAGAAAAATGGTACTGTGGTTGTTGGAAAGTACCCCCTGCTCCCTTTGAACGGAGCCCCTGGGAGGCAGTGTGGCTCACAGACACGGCTGTGGATGGGCCTCTGCCCCTTGTGGCTGGTGGACCCTGGCTCAGTTTCTGGCGACATTTCCGTGTGGAATGGGAGGAATAGAAGTTTGCTATGTAAAGAAGTTCCACTGGCTTCCCAATGCCCGTCTTCCTGGTTTGGGCTGTGGTATTCTGGCTTCAATCTAAATGGGCACTTGCAATCTTTATTAGTATACATTTTCCATTTCCTTTATTTTTTCTGGCCTCTCTTGTATTCTCTGTCGTTGATACATTTTTGTTTCTAATCTCCCCTGGTATAGCCCAAATTGGGTCCCCGGTGGCTCCTGGAAGCATCTGCCCATCACCCTGGTCTGGGTGGGTAACCATTCACTGCTTTCTGTTAGTTGCTATAACAATCTAACAGCCAATTAAGTATTTTACTAGCAAAACCATAGGAGCTCTCTCTGCAGTTTGCTTGCAGTCCAAGCAAATTATGTCCATTGCTTCACCCCGTGGGTTCATTGTCACCGACTCAAATTGATCGTGCTGGTTAAGCCGACTACCTTTCTGTAAATCCAACTCTATCCAATTTGTATGTTTCCAAGTATTTTCGTTGAATCCCCGATCAAAGATCACAGGTTCTTTTCTAATTTAGGAGATGGGCTTATAGGTATGTGGTTATCAATTTAATTCCTAAACTTACAAATATACACAGAGATGACTTGCCTATGTCTCCTTAAGCCCTTTATTTATGTGTTTTTTAGAAGAAAAAAAAGCTGTCATATATGCTTTCTTTTATTTGCCATCTCTTCTGAAATATTTTATTTCCACTTTCTGTTTGCAATGTCTGATTATTTTTTCCCCTCAATCCGTCTAAGAAAGTAGAGCCCCAAATACTTGCTCTATTATTTTTGCTGTCATCAATTATACATTTGCTGCCTCCGGGATAGAGCGTTACTTCTTGCTTGTTTTCTTCAGTCTCTCAGACAAACACAAAAGAATCCTTTTGTTCCTCAGAGAATCCTCTCAGCTGACACCAGGACCTGTCAACACACCCCACGGTCCCTCCTTCCTCACTGTGAGACTCTTTTAGTCTTCCTATCACGCGGAGGCGTCTTTCTCTGACAGACAGCGCTGGCTGCCCTAGTCACAGTCTTTTCCTCTAGAGATCTATGGGATGGGGTTTGAGAAGAAATTGTATGCTTGTTCTCATTATCATCTGCAGCTGGATCCTATCTCGTACTGTGCCAATACTATCCATTGAAAAACAGTTCCATGAAATTTTATCAGTAAAAATTCTACCAAGAGAACCACAGGTATTCTCTACTGTTAGGGCAGGAGTTGTGGATATTTAGATTGTGAATCAAGGAATCCAGGATCCTGAAACTCTTTCTGAATCATACTGATGGGAAAGTACATTTTCCCTTCATTTTTAGCACTAAGCACTTTTGTGTTGAAAGTTTTGAAATATTAAAATGATACAGTTGGCAAAAAATTTCATCCTCGGTGAATAATAGGATGTTTTCCCCTACTACTTGTTTCCACACATTTTTCCCTTCGTTGTTAGAGCCAGGCAGACTGAAGACTCCAAGTTAAATAAATATGATCGCCATCATGGTAGGAAGGCAAAAGGGGCTGTGAAAAGCTGGTCAGGCTATTGCATTTAATATTCCACTGAACATGTGGGTTATAAAAATATAAACTTGGGCAGAAGTCTTCCCCAAAGGCCCCTTTCCTACTTGTAAAAAATGGAAATGGTCCTATAAAAAACAGTGCCAGGGAATTCCAGACTGCCCGTGCCCATCTGTCCCATCATCAAAGTCTCCGCGTTCCCCTTCTGATGTGCGCCCCGCACTCCCTGAACCGCCGTCACCTGTCTGTTCCCCTTTTCAGGGGCACTGAACAGCGGGAGCCTGCTGCAAGAAATGAGCTCCCCTCAGAGGAAGGGGCTGGAGTGCAGAAGCCACAGAGATGGAGGACATCTGGCGACTGAAAAGGAACACATAAAAGGGGGCGGGAGAGCGGTGCCCGGGCCAGTGCCAAGGGAGAGTCTGGGCAAAGTGAATGAGCACTCAGAACAGTCACACAAACACCCCAAATGACAGGAAAAAGAAGAGAGTGATTCAAGGCACGAAGGAAAAACTGCAGCTCAATGCCTGGGGGTGGGGAGAGGAGGAGCCTTTGTGGCCAAAAGAAAGTAAACAAGTCGCTGGACTCCCTCCAGGGACAGAGGCTCCATCCCTGGAAAGCAGAGTGAGGCTGCAGGAAAAGAGGCTGCTGTCAGAATAAAGGAGGGCGGAGGGCGTGCATTCAGGACGAAATCCCAAAGCTTCGCCAAGAGCACAGCAGACAGGGAAGGGGCCGAATGATTTCACTGATGGGCAAAGACTGGTTTTATAAGGATTACAATTACAGAAAATTACCTCGCCTCACTATAAAAACACACAATAAATTGTGTTCTTTGTACTTAATGTACATAGGTTGTTTGACGTTTATTCTTTTGCAGTTTATTTATGGGTAGAAAAAAATATATATGCCCAAAAATATATGAATGAAGGCTTCAGATTTTGGTGGGTACAAATGTTCATCTGAAATACTGAGTTAGGAGCATTTAAGTCATTTTAAAGCAGAACACCTGGATAGTAAGATTTTGAATCCGCAATAGGAAATGCTATCTAAAAGGCACCATCTCCACAAATGAGAAATCTGCTTTGCTTATGAAATGCAGGGCCACAGGGCCTAAAGCTTATAGAAACAATGAACCAGGTGACACTGAAAAAAATGTTTATATATTTATGCGTTATGTGAAAACAGTCTGCTATTTTTAGTGTATTTCACGATGTTTTCCTGTGGCACCAACAGTGCTTCATTTCCTGTCTCTAGTTTTTGCATGCTGAAATAGAATCCTAGCAGATATTTGTCTGACTAAGTATATTTTCTTTCCTAATGCACTCCTAGACCCCCAGTGACTGTATCAAACAGATCTGCTCACATTTGTAATTGTTATTCAAGGCCAGAATCCCTCAAACAGGGTTCATTGCTCGGAGTGTAGCTGAGCCAAGACCCTGGGTCCGGAGGGGTGGCAGGTCTCGAGAACAGAGCCACTCTCTTCTGGCTCAGGAAGAATAAAAAGAGAATCCTCTTAGTTGGTGGAATTCTCCGGTTGCTTTACAAGTAGCAGGTACTAGTGAAAAAAGGCAAAGGATGACAAAAGGGCACAATTGCTGGCGACAGAAGAGAAGCAAGAAGAAGGGATAGATATGAACAAGTTTCCAGTGACTGACGAATTCCATCCAAGGTACCATTCTGGATTGGTTGTCTGGAGAAAATACACAAAAAGAAGGCGGGAGGCCTACACCCGTGAAAGACAGACAGGAGGGAAAAGCAGGGACTAGAGCAGTGATGGCGAACCTTTTGAGCTCGGCATGCCAGCATTTTCAAAAACCCTAACTTAACTCTGGTGCCGTGTCACATATAGAAATTTTTTGATATTTGCAACCATAGTAAAACAAAGATTTATATTTTTGATATTTATTTTATATATTTAAATGCCATTTAACAAAGAAAAATCAACCAAAAAAATGAGTTCGCGTGTCACCTCTGACACGCGTGTCATAGGTTCGCCATCACTGGACTAGAGTATGTTCCAGCAAGTGGTAAAAGAAAGCCAACGCTTGGTTACATACTTAGTTCAAAAAAACGGAGGGGAGGATGTGGGAAAATATCTTAAATGTCAGGATAAATATTCCAGCATAAAGCTTGCCATGCATTTCTTAGTTTTCTGCTGGAAAAACACTGAACTCACCTTTCACACACAACAGGCCTAGACTCATTCATGACAGAGCCCAGGGAGGAGCACGGCTGTCGTGGAGGTGGAGCGATGGGAACGGCAGAGTCCAGGGAGCTAGTCTTGCGATGAAGGACCTCCTGGGCCAGAGCTGCTCCCACAGCCACCGCCTGGGCGGGACCATCTCCATCCATGGGGCAGGAGCCCGCCCTGCCGTGGGCGCCCCCTAGTGGCAGCTCCGGACCCACTGCTCCCTGCAGAGGCAACTCGCTGCCGCCACCGCCACCGCCACCACCGAGCTCCACTTCGAGGGTGGGTGAGGCTGGAGGGGACACTCGGGGCTTCCGTTTGGTGGAGGCGCCAGAAAGCAACTTCAACAAACCCTTTCTTTCTTTCTAGAAAAAGAAAAAAAAGGGCATTAGTTGAAAACTGACAGTACCATTGTGTTATAATCTGTAGGGCACTACAGTTTCAACTTCTGGTTTGATCTTTTAAAATTATTCCTGTGGCTATTTGGTTATCCAAGATCTACCTGTCAATTCTGAGTGGTATTAACCCGACCATTTGCTTCTCTTTCTTCTCCCTTTCTGCCTGCAAGTTTTTACTTGTTTGGGGTATTCCATTGTTCATCACTACCTTCTACTGAGGCAGGATAAGCAGATGAAAAAGATGTAAAACAAAAAAACTCACCGATTCACATCTCAGATGTGGTGAAGGCAGAAGCAGTTATTTTTAGAACAAAATGGAGATCTCCGATTATGGATTTAATTCCCTGAAATTTGGCCTATCCTGTCTCTAGTTTTTGCATGCTGAATTAAACACAAACCTAATCGCATTTTACTCTCTACCTGCAGACTTGACTTCTTATATTTATCATAGTGATGCCTTGATCAGAATTAAGGGCTAACCTACTTCTCACATGCCATCCTGATAAAATTTAACAAGCCAAAAACAACAGAAGTCAAACCATTGCCATTGTGCAAATATCTCCTTGTTTAGAAAGCCAAAAGCAATTCTACAAAGAGTTAAAGAAAGCTTTAGTACAATAAAAACCACTGTGTCTCTTTTTGCAAGTAAGTGTACAAATAAGAATTTTCCCCAGCAATAGCACGCCACAGAAGCTCTCTCTTGAATCTTTGTCTCTTTTGACATCTTTGCTCTTTGCTCCTCTCGGAAAACCAGATCTTGAGCCAGCTTCCCTTCATTCCCAAGCCTTAATGTCAATGTTCTTTTTTTTAAAGAAAAATACTTTTTGATTGATTTTAGAGAGAGAGGAAAGGAGAGGAAGAGAGAAAGAAACATCGACTGGCTGCCTCCTGCACGCCCCCTACTGGGGACTGAGCATTGTCGTGTGCCCTGACCAGGAATCGAACCATGACCTCTCAGTGCACAGGACAAAGCTCAACCAACTGAGCCACACTGGCCAGGGCTCAATGTTCTTTCCGATGACTAAACATAGGTAACAATCATCATTTTAAATTGCTTTACTAAGATGTCAACCACATTATAAAGTCCTCTGAATGGAAGCATGGCTTGAAAATAAAACATTTCGTATAGAAGCAATTCTTTAGAAAACTCTATAGACAAATGGGAATTATTATTTAGGTCCACTAATAGAAAAATAGAATTATGAGGGGCCCACAAGGAGATAAAACAATAAGAACTTTTTCTTGGGAATATGAGTCAGTTCAAACCCAGTGGAAATCCATTGGGGAAGAGTTCGACTCCATAATGACATAGTTCCATTCGACACCGAATGGCAGGAAAAAAGGAAGCGACAAACGTAATCATTTATCAGGCAATGAAAGGCACTTGGGGAGACTGCGCCACAGGCCCGTTTACCAGCCTAACGTGGCTCACAGTGTGTGCTGGCTCCTGGGTCAGAAACAGAGGAGGGGCAAGACATTTCTGTCCGTGCCCAATGCGGGCTGCAGACGAGAAGAGCCAATCCATCGATGGCAGACCCCCTTCCTCCCCACCCCAGCCAGAGGAAGACCCTTTTGCATTTCTCTTTAAGGCCTGTCCTCAACGCACCTTCCTAGCTATTGCTTCATGTAACTAACTTCACAATTGCCAATGGGTTACTCTATGCGTTCCAATAAATGAGCCTATAAAGTTGGACGACCTGCTTGAGCGCAGTGCCTGGGGCTCATACACCTGTGCATCACACCCAGTGCCTGCCTGGGGCAGAGCCCGGCACCTCCTGAGCTGAGAGGCCAAGACCGCAAGAGCATGAGGCAGGTGGGAGGAAGGGAAATATTTAGCGCATCCCAGGGCTAAAGGAAGGGGCTATTTCTGGATCATCCAGTGGCGATAAAGACTTCCCTCTACAGTGGGTCGCAACCCCTTTGGCGGTCGAACGACCCTTTCACAGGGGTCGCCTAAGACCATCCTGCATATCAGATATTTACATTGCGATTCATAACAGTAGCAACATTGCAGTTATGAAGTAGCAACGAAAATAATTTTATGGTTGGGTCACAACATGAGGAACTGTATTTAAAGGGCCAGAAGGTTGAGAACCACTGCTCTACACAATGGCCAATGAAGTGGGCAGATGGAAGCCTGTTGGAGCTGCTGCCACACTTCTTTAAGGAGCCTGAAGTCTGGGGGGCCGGAAAATGGGCAGGGAAAGAATACCATTCACTGGCTCCACATCTAAAGCAGCAGCCAGCCTCAGCTTCCAGCTGTTTCTGCCAGGATGCAGGAAAGCACTCTCTAATCCCCGGACCCCCACAGACCTACTGAGAACATCAAGTCCATTGATAAACTGCAATCTCAGCAAGCCTCAGCTAAAGATGTTTCTTTAAAAGCTCAGTCTGGGCACTCAGAAAAATATCAGTTAACTGAAGGGCGCCCAGGGAACAGCCTTTAAAGTGATTAAGAAGAAAGATGACTTGGTTCATCTAAAATGATTAAACACATTAAATACAGATTGTGCTAATGGCTTCTCGGGATGTGTTCTCATCATCAGCCGCTGCTGATGATCCGAAGAGCAGCCGGTGGAGGATTAGGTGCTGTTGCGGGGTGCTCGGGTAGGGGCTGGGTATTCACATGGCAAAGATGCTGCCCTGTTCCCAGATGCTGTGCTTTTAATATCATATTCCGATGTTTTCTACGTTAGCAGAACAAGGTGCACATGAAAGAGATCGTTTTGCAAACTCAGATACTTATCATCTCCCGGAGCCTTTGTTTTTTCAAAATCCAGGGGCAGAAAACTACAGATGAATTAATAAAGACTACATCTCAGCAGTTTTTTAAATGTAATGTGAGCATGCATAAAAAGGGGGGGCATATCTTTGAACATAAACCTTAATAATTCTTCTCTTGTGGGTTTCCCAAGAAATTATTCATAGATGAAATAATGTTATGGTCATCATTTTCTCGTCAGAAGATTTGATGATTTAAAATGGCTTCTCAGAAAAAAAAAACAACAACAACACAAAACAAAACAAAAAATGGGGTGGGGGAAAAGAACTATTTGGGCCAGAAAATAATCACCAGATAACAGAAAGAATAATTTTACATATAAAAATAATTTCTGAACCTCAACTTAGTAACTTCCTATTAGTCACATGACACAAAATGAGTACAATATGGGAAACATCAAGTCAAAGCTCCTTCCCAAGCAAAAATAAATTTCATACGAGCAACAGCCAATTAACCACATTCTACCCCTGAGTCTTCCTCTTATTCCTCTCCTTGCCCTCAGATGTACAGAGAAAGTAGGGAAAGGTAAATAGTCTTCCAGGCCATTGGTCATCAAAAATCTATGCAGTCAGACTCCCAATAATCAGAGTCACTGTTCTTAGGTAAGGAATTTCAAAAATTTAATTCATACGACTGTCTAGTAACAATCACTCATTCTCTTAACAGATATGACTGTCATGTATGAGCCAACAATGTGCCAGGCTCTGGGAATACAGTAGTGGGCAAGACAACAAGCAGTTTACATTCTCTAGACAGACACCATCATGGCTGTGAAACTGATGCTCTGTAGAAAAATAAAGCAGGGTCAGGGGAGAGAGAATGAGCAGGGGGTGGAGGGGGTGCTGTCTGAAGTAGGAGAGGAGGCAGGAAAGCATTTTTTTTTTAACGTGCACAGAAAGAGGGAAAGGCCATATGATATTCTAGAGATGGTTAAATACCACTGGATTCAAAAATCTTAATGCATTTTATAAAGATTTCCACATGTATTCCTCACACCCATCCACCTGATGAGATAGGATCAATGCTATTCTCATTGCCTAAATCTCCTTAAGTTTGCCTAGAATCACACTGCTAGTAAGGGGTTATACTAGAACCAAGCCCCTACTTTTCTGTGACTTCTGCACAGGCAACGTCTGTAGAAGCAGTTTACTCTGTGCAATGGACGGCAAGAGCAGACACACTGACCCAGGGCTGCTGATTACCAAGGTCGCTATGAGCCAAACTCTGCGTGCAGATTTGCAGTGTCCAGACCTAGTCTGAGTCCCAGCTGTTGGCCGGGGCAGCAGCAGTGACTCCAACCACTTACCAGGAAGTGTGGATGGGCTTCTCCTTAAGAAAATGAAATGGTGAAGCCCAGAGACCATCTCATTTTTTTAAGTTTTAAAAAAATATATTTTATTGATTTCAGAGAGGAAGGGAGAGGGCTAGAGAGAGAGAAACATCAGTGATAAGAGAAAATCATTGACTGGCTGCCTCCTGCACAGCCCACACTGGGGATCGAGCCTGCAACTTGGGCATATGCCCTGACTGGGAATCGAACCGTGACCTCCTGGTTCATAGGTCGATGCTCAACCACTGAGCCATGCCAGGCCGTCTCATTTTTGACAGCAAAATAAAAACTGGAGAGAAAGGAAGACCATGTGAGCAAAGAGTGATCCATAGGGACTTCAAGGACATGTGTTCAGGATAGAAGATAGAAGAAAATGGGCTATTAAAAACCAGATGGTCCTTCTTCTTAAGAAAACTGAGAATAATAGCAAAGGTCCTCAAACATTATGAAGAAAACCTGTGGTTAGCTCAAGGGAGAGAATTCAGGAATTTGGGTGGGAGGTTTGAGGCACTAAATGTTGAGACCTCTTGTAAAAATGCTGTCTTTCAGGAACAATAAGGATGTGGCCGAGAACGAACACCGCTCCTGCTGACTCCTCTGGGAAGGACTGTCAACGTCAGAGAAGACTCCTGAAGCATCCCCAGACCAGGAAGGTGGGGTGGGACATGGAAGCACTTGGGGTAGAGTGGTGCAGTAGAGGTGGTTTCTTCTCTTCTGCTGATGTGAGGGTTAAAACTGCTAAATTAAGTTAGCGGCCATTACACTGAGGTGCTTCTAGTGCAGTGATGGCGAACCTATGACACGCGTGTCACTTCTGAACTCATTTTTTTGGTTGGTTTTTCTTTGTTAAATGGCATTTAAATATATAAAATAAATATCAAAAATATAAATCTTTGTTTTACTATGGTTGCAAATATCAAAAAATTTCTATATGTGACACGGCACCAGAGTTAAGTTAGGGTTTTTCAAAATGCTGGCACGCCCAGCTCAAAAGGTTCGCCATCACTGTATAGTGCCTGAGCAGCTTGCAGAAGCAAACCAAAACCTAAACCTGTCAATGCCTTAAGGTTAAGAAATCAAAACCTAAGGACAACCAACCACAAACGGCCAACTAGGCTTTCCCAAATAAGGCAACTGCTCAAGCTATAGCCAATCAAAAATTTTCCTGGCTTTGCTTCCTGTCTTCTCTATAAAAGTCTTGCCTTTGACTCTTGTTGGTGAGCTCACCTGACCACTTCTGGTTGGGCGCTGCCCGATTTTAATAGATATTTGCTCAAATAAACTCTTTAAATTTGTAAAATATACCCCAGTTTATCTTTTAACAGAATTTAGAGAGTATATAAAAACAGTTAATTACATAATTGTTGCTGAAGAAAACGATTTTATTTTCTAGATGAAAGCTTACTATACCAAAATAATATTTCTTATATTTTGGTATCTAGGGGGAAAAACACATATACACAATAATATTAATGACTTTCTTTGAATTCTTGGATTATATTTAGGTTTTCTCTAACTTCTAAATAAATATGTATAATTAAATTTTTTAATAATAAGAAAACCCAATACGCACACACACACACACACACATATACACACCCACATACATATACATGAGCATCTCGTAAGGATTGGCAAACACATTTGCCTGGAAACTAGCTGACCAAATAATGAAGCCTTTAAACAGAATATGGAGTTAGAAAAATGTCTGGATGAAGCTGTTAAACTGTTAACTGCAGAAGACATCAGAAATCTCATAGAAAGAACAACAACAATGGCAGGAAGGCCCAGGATTCCGACCAGACATCACTGAGATGATGTTTGGAAAGATGTTACAGAGCTTCAGATGCCTACTTATCAAAGCACAGAATGCAGTTACCAGACCAAATTAGTTAGAGACTTAAGTCAATGACAAAAACACGTTTCTGAGACTGTGATATAGGGCTTTCAAATAAAATATTGTTCAATGGAACAGCTCAGTTGGATACAGAGCTGCAATGGCCCCATGTGCACGTGGAAAAGGTACACGCTCCATGGCACACCAGAGGTAGCCATGGCAGAGCATTCGGGTATAGAGGAAAGAAGAGGGCAACTGACAAGCTATCATTTGGGAGACACACCTGACACTGTCTGGACAGTTTAAGGCAGTGGGTGATCACAAAATGACAAAAGGAGAAGAAATAAGGAGGGAATGATCAAATACCTATATATTTGCTGGAAGTTTCAACTGAAACTAGAATCTCTGATACACTTTGTCCTTGACATTCTGATAAATTAATCTCACAGAAAGTTGAACAAACTGCAACTTTGGATCTAACTCTGATCAACAAATGGTGGTTGGCAGGGGGGCGGGGGTGGTTGGGCAGCAAAGTAGCGAGCAGGTAAGGGGTAAAGAGCTTTGGCTGGTGAAGCAGAAACATTGAGAACTTAGAGGTAAGCACTCAAAGAGAAGTTCTCTATAGTTAGATTTGAACTCTAAAGTTTAAAAGAACTGATTTTAAAAGTTCAAAGAAAATATATGCTTGACCTGAAACTCAAAAGGAAAGATACTTCAAGAGGGAGGGCTCTCCAGAATAAAATTCTAACTATACAATTGCAAATTACCCCAGCAGATGAAAATGTAGAGCCATCTAAAGGTACTGATGTGATCCCCCAGGGGGCAGCCTAATGAGCTCAAATTTTTAAAGGACTCCTACAAAAAGATCAAGAGAAGGGTCCATATGAAAGAACATTAGCATGGTCCATATGAGCTTAAAGTTGCAAAAATGCTAAAGACCAAGAAAAAAAAAAGTGGGGGGGGGAGGGTGGAGGCCCACATTGCTTAAAAGTTATGTTTGAACTGAGAACAAGAAAGACACAGACCTGCTGTTTGGGACAGATGGTAGTTCTCAGATGATAAGACAGACAAGGATAATCTTCAGACGGGAAAGGAAGAACAAACCTTGCTAAGAGGGAAACGGATAAAGAGATCGGGACTTAGAGATCAAATGACTACTCTTGGCAGGTTGAATTTACCCCAGAGCACAAAGGAAACTACCAGCTGAACTGCTACCAATAATCTTTGCTAGATCCTGGTGGACCTGAGATCGGGTCAATTCAACAGGCCAAAGAAGGGCATGTGTAGTCCTAATTTTCAAAAAGAAAACAACAATGGCCGAAACCGGTTTGGCTCAATGGATAGAGCGTCGGCCTGTGGACTGAAAGGTCCCAGGTTCGATTCCGGTCAAGGGCATGTACCTGGGTTGCGGGCACATCCCCAGTGGGAGTGTGCAGGAGGCAGCTGGTCGATGTTTCTAACTCTCTATCTCTGTCCCTTCCTCTCTGTAAAAAATCAATAAAATATATTTAAAAAAAAAAAAAAAAAGAAAACAACAATGTATTTTGCAGACCATCTGGAAAATTCTAGAATAGTGTATGAAGTGCAAGGTCTACCTAGGAAAGGAAATGAGACTCAGAGGAGTAGACTCCTCCAGGACACGCTGGCTAACAGCAAGTAGCGCCAAAACGATGGGGCCACTGGGGGACTGTTTAGATGGGAGAACGTAAAAGACACTGGGATCTCAACGGAGGTTTGAAAAGTTCTTCCACGATAGCCTTGTGCCTGTGGACAGGATGAAGAAAAGTGGGCTGAATGACACTCTGCTCATGTTAATCGTGGAATCACTGAACTTACTGACATCAATCAGAAAAAGTCTCTAGTGGACTTGGAACATTAAATGAGGAGGTAGATTGAGGAAGGGAAAGCTTGTAAACTGTGATGAGAAACAGTGAAAAAAAACTTCAAGAGTGTGGCCTCAAAAAAAAAAAAAAAAAGATGACCCTGAAATACTTTAAGACATCATATAAGGAAGGAGATCAATAATTTCTCCGTAGCACCTCAAAATAAAAGAAAATGGCATGGACACTCTGGAGCTAGGGCACTTGGGGTCAATACGGTATCCAAACGAGCCAGTGGCCATCTGTTGAGGATGGGTGCTCAACAGCATAACCCAAGTAAGGTCCTGTCTTGGTTTATCACAACTTCGGGATAAAAATCAGGTCCTGAAATCAAGGTGTTGGTAGGGCTGCATTCCTCCTGGGGCCCTAGGAAAGAGTCTGGTTCCTTGCTTTTTCCAGCTTCTAGTAGCTACTTGCATTTCTTGGCTTGTGGCTTCTCCCTTGAATCACCCTGATCTCTGCTTCTAGGCCACATCTCCTCTGGCCCTGATCCTCCTGCCTCCCCTTCATGAAGACCCTTGAGATCACATACATCCCACCCTGGTAATCCCTTTAAAACCTTTACTTTAATCTCACCTGTAAAATTCCTTTTGCTATGGAGGGAAACAGTCTCAAATTTCAGGGAGCAGGACATGGCCATCTTTCGGGAGCCATTATTCTGTCTAGCACAGGCCCTCCCAAGCCTCAGAGATTCAGGAGCTGAAGACTCCCTGCTCTCCTCAGTGACAAGGGGCCTGAGACACACTGTTCCAAAACTTTAAAATCTAAACTATGAAATGATTCTTTTAAAGATATTGACAAAGTTGAACATGTCAGCTTGAGTGCAAGTTTAATGTAGTTAATTATAAACGCTGGACAGATACCAATCTTTTTCAAAAACGCTCATGTTAACCTAACGATTAAATATTAACTTTTTGGTAAGCCGAAAAGTTTATTTCCTTATAAAGCCCTATTTACGGGCTTACCTAACCTTTTAAATAGAGCAGCACCCATTACCAATGACCAGGTGGCTGTTTATAATCACCCTAGAGCTTCCTAGAACTGGGCTTTTTAAAAGGAGAAAGGCATGACATACTGTGGAAAGGTCATGAACATAATGCAATTCTCCAGACTTTGTTATCACTCTTCTCTTTCAGTTCACATTTAATCACCATCAACTCCCCTTGGCTCCAACCACCTGCCTCCAAACCCAACAATAGGTTAGTCTTTCAAACACAGCCTCCCATGTATATTTTCTTTGAAACTCAGCCCCAAATGAGAGACTTATAAAGATCAAAGGATTTATAAAATAATTTCCCCCTAAATTTCAAGTCAAGAGAAAAACTATTCATGCTGATTATAACCAAGTATAGTATAGAAAAATAAATCCACAAATACCATTTCTCACCAACAGTCTCATCCCCTTTGTATGTTAAATATCTATCTATCTATCTATCATCTATCTATCATCTATTTGCACATACACTGAGTGGTCAGATTATTATGACCACCCCATCAGTACAATGAAGTGAATTAGTTATGCAAATAATAATAATAATAAAACCTTGAGAGTATTTGCTTAGGAAGTTTTCAATATTCAGTATTTTTGGAAGTGTCAATGAAGTACTGATGGGGTGGTCATAATAATCTGGCCACTCAGTGTATACAGCTATTGCAGAACTGCTAACAAAAAGCAAACTGACTGGACAGGAAGAATTAAGGACAGCAAAATGATGACAGAATGAGGAAAGGGAAAGGAAATTCCTGCATGAGATGTAAGCCACAGGTGGAGAAGCAGTAAGTCTTACTCACTGTGATCTCCCCAGCACCTAATACAGGGCCTGGCAACTAGTGGGTGCTGAAATGCAGAGAAACACGAACCTAGCAACTGGCACAGAAGCACACACAGTTAAGCACTTGAAGGAATGTTGAACGGGTCCCTTCATGAGTAGAAATGATGGGACACAACACCAGCAGAGAAACAGGATGTTGGCCTTACTTTACTATCTTTGTCTGGTTTGGCTGCTGAACTGTTCCCACAAGCTGATGAAGCGCTGTCAGGAGAGGCGGGAAGTCCAGAGAGAATGGCCATTATCTGGCTGCTGGGCTCCGTCTCCAGGGAGGTGGAGGTGAGGCTGGGGGAGGTGATCGAAGCTGCTGCAGCACAGGCTAAGGGGGCGCTGGCTCGACCCATATTGATGGCAGCCATCGGAGGCGGAGGCTGTGGGGAGGCCAAGGGGTGATGGGGCAGGCCCACAGACGCAGGGCCTAGCCCGCTGGCATTCTGTACTTGGATGGGCGTCACCGCTGCCGTAGGGCGTTCTTGGTTGTGTGCCAAAACTAGTAAATGACAGGAGGGAACACGGTAAGATTCAACCTTCCAATAAACGCTGCTCATCAAACTATGAGTCATTTCATTGCATCCGTCCATAATGAAAGGTTGCTACTGCATTTATTACAATAAATAATGGATGTGTGGTGGTTCAAAAGCACTTCATCTTAGCTGGGTCCCTGGATGCATTTCCCTTCCAGATCCGCTCTGGAGTCTGTTGAATGCCTAGAACAGCGATGGCGAACCTATGGCACGCATGTCAGAGGTGACATGCGAACTAATTTTTTTGGTTGATTTTTCTTTGTTAAATGGCATTTAAATATATAAAATAAATATCAAAAATATAAATCTTTGTTTTACTATGTTTGCAAATATCAAAAAATTTCTATATGTGACACAGCACCAGAGTTAAGTTAGGGTTTTTCAAAATGCTGACACGCCGAGCTCAAAAGGTTCGCCATCACTGGCCTAGAAGCTTAGCTGTAACCCCAAGGACCTTCAGTTAGAGAAAGAAGGCCTTTCCATGGGATGAGAGACTCGAAGCCAGTATCTGATGGTGGTCTACACTGTCAAACTGCACTGGCCTCCGGTCCTTTTTAAAATGATTCTCTCTTCTTATTAACCATTTTCTTTCTTTGTTTTTTTTTGTGTTTTTTTTTTTTTCAGAGAGAAGTCACAGTTTACTCCCATTGTTACCCAAGACTCTTGGTAGGTATTCAATGTTATAGAAAAAAGAAAACGATTTAAGGTCCCACTGGGTCTAAGATAGACTTGTGACTAAATTCATAAAAAATTATCCGCACACCGGTTGGCTGCAGTAGATGTACAGTGAGATTTGAGATCATATGATCCTGGCTACAGAAGTCCTATTTTTCAAATACTACTGACATTCTTAGGATCGGCCTAGTCTCTTTCAGGCTTTCGATCTACACATCAGGGAAGGCTTGGCCAAAGTAAGCAGACGTAGAGTGCCACTGCCTGGACTCTGCCTACTTCCACTTCCTGTTATTTGTTATTTTACATCACATCTGCTTTTGTCAACATCTGTCACGGAAGACCTGATACTAGGCAGACGACCCTTTTCCTGATGCTTCCCAGTCCGGTTTCCTCCTTACCTGTCCTCACAGCATTACGGGCCTGGTTGACCGTCATCTGCCCCGTCATGTTCAACAAGACCTTAGCCTGAGGACTCGTGTGCATGTGAGCTGCTGACACCACTGCTGTGGGGACCACATTGGGACTCCCGGCCATACCATTTCCCTGGAGCTTCTGGGCAGGCCCTCCTGCAGTGGAGGGACTGACCATGGTCACCCCCCGACTTGTCTGACCAGCTGTAGACACAGGAACTTTAGCTTGGGAAGCATTTGTCATCGCCCTGCCGAAACAGAAAAACAGACAGCCCCATCCATTAGGGAAGTGGGGGACAGAACAATTAAAAGGAAAAAAAAAAGACTCAAAGCTTTAAGACAAACATTTTAAAAAATGAATGGGATTATTTTTACAAAGTGTAAAAATAGCAAATTCAAACTCACAATGGCCCTGAGGCAGAGAAAGGTCTTGCAATGTATTCTGAGTCACAGAAAATCATGTATTGTATTTTCTGCTCAAGAACATCCAGTTACCGGGCTCAGCTTCTCACACCAAGGCCGAACCCCTCCACTGACTTGAGGCCCTGGATTCTCCTACTTCTGCTATCCAAGAAGCCAGGCTTGTGACCTTACAATCACATGTCCATGGCCCTGCCCATGTTTTCTGCCCTTCTCCTATTTGCCCCCAGCCCCACGTCACTCAAGGGCTTGTGTACATGCATGTGGGTGCACATACACATATACACACACTCTCGGACTGTCCTCCCCAGCTTCTCTTGACTTACCCTAATCTCATTTGTTTCAAGATCCAGCAGAAATCCCATCATTTCAAGAAGCCTTGCCTAAGGCTCAGGCTGAAGACTTTATGATTATCTTTCATGTGGATTTCTCTGTCCTATGACCCTGATTAGAAAAATGAGTGTATTGTTTTTTAGTTAATTCCTTATTAAATATTCCTGACTCAGTCAAAGTTCCTTGAAGACGGGGCCAGTGTGCAATGGTTCTTTTCCATTTCTCCAGGATTTGTAGTTGTAGTGGTACCGCCAGCTCTAAACAAATACTTAGTGGTTGAATTTAATTAAATTAGGTTTGGCATAGTTTTGTGTAATGCTTTTTTAACATTCTAAATTCATTTAAACATCAATTCTATTTATAGTAACTTTCTACTAAGTAGGCTACTTCATTAACTTGAACGTCCTTATTATGTACCATGAGGAGTAACAAAGAATTAGTTCTAAGTAAGCAACTCTCCAGAGACTTTAAATAATTTGTTTTTGAGTCTTATGAAAATGTTTTCCTTTACTAACTTAATATTTTGGTTTTGGTTTATTTTACTTCCCCTAGTTGTTTCTGGTTTGTTGTTGTTGTTTTGTGTGTGTGTGTGTGTGTGTGTTTCCCACCAGGAAGGGCCTAGCTGAATCTACCTTCTGGATCCTGAATGTAGATTTTAACATATACAGAAAACAAGGTTTATATCGATTAAAAATCTGCAAGTCAAATGAAAGCTAGCACCCTGTCACCATCTGCAACAACAGTGATTTATATTTGATTAGGCTGCTGGCCAACCTATAAGTCAAGGCCAACAGCTGACAAACATGTCAATTCATTAAACCATTTATTCAGAATCAGAGGGTTTAAGGAATGATTTATCACAGTTAAACCTGGGCCATTTAAGAGCCCGGTGGCCAGAAACTGAGGCTCCCTGAATGTCAATGCCATTAAGGGCATTCCATTCAGTTTCCAAGGCTACTTTCCTCAGTGACCAGAAGGTGGGCTTATCTCGAAATGAAATAAAGAACATTTTGTATATCTAACAGCCCGACTTCCCATTACCCTGTAACAGCCCTTCTCCACCTCAGTGACATCTGGGGCCAGCTAATTCCGTTCTGTGGGAGGGGCCCTGTGTACTGCAGCACCTTCGGCAGCATCCTTAGCTTCAGTGCACCAGGTGCCAACAATAGCCTCCCCCCCCCCGCCAGTGCCAATCAAATGTGTGTCCACACATTGCCAAATTCCCCCAGGGAAGCAAAATCACCTTCAGTTAAGAAGGATAGAGGATCTATGCCATAGCTAAGGAATTTTATTTCTGACTGTATTACAGAAATTAATTGCCAGAATTCAGAGGTAATCAAGCTATTAGAACAGAGTCAGACCACCTGGGTTTGAGCACTTCTTCACTATGTGATCTCAGACCAGTTATTTAATCTCTTTGTACCTCCATTTCCTCATCTATCAAGAGGGGATAACAGAAACTACCACAACGAGTTGTTCAAGGACTTGGAGTGAACGTGTGCAACCCATTTAGAAATCTGCCTGCCTGGCATATAGCAAGCATTATAGAAACATGGAAGTATTAATAATATAGCTTTTGTTTAGATGAAACATTATGCTCTTCCCAGCAGAAAAAATTCTGAAAATGGTCTTTTACATGTTACTTAAAGCAAATAACTTAAAACCCAGTACATTTATTTGTAGAAACCTACAATTTCACATAGAGCCATGTGAAAAGTAAGCCAAGCATTTTAGAGTTAGAAGGGATCTCAGCAAGCACAGATACAGACTTTTTTTTAAAATGTTGGCTGTGTAACAGGCAATTATAACTTGAGAAGGAATCTGGACAGGCTGAGAGCCATGGAGAAGAACAAAGCTTCTCTGTTTGGAACTTAGTAAACCACTTGTTCAAAGCCATACCTTGTGACGGGTGCCACATAATTACCAGGGAAAACCCCGATCTTGCTGGTATGCATCGATGTCCCTTTGAACCAGCCATCCTGGCAACGTTCAAACACTAAAAACATCTCCCCTTTCCTCAGCTCCAGCTCATCCTCTTTCCGGGGAGTGTATGGATATATAGCAACATACCTGGAATAGAAAGAATATCTGATTTCGGGCTGAGTAACCACCAAAACCCAAGATGCTCAAAGCTCGTCCATGGTATAAAGTCTTGAATATCTTGCACAAATGAAAACAGAAAGTACAGTCCTTTCATCTGTAAGCAGTATTGGTACTTGTCCGCTGAAAGCTTTTGCCATCGACATTGAAAAGGCAGAGCCCCACCCCCCCCGCCCCCAAAGAAAAAGAAAGAAAAGGCAGAAGCCTTCCTGATTAAGAACTGCCAACCTGGTCTTACCCCCCCACTGCCCCCGTGTGAAGGTGACCACCCCACCAAATGGTATTTGCCGGGTGTGAAAGAATTAAGGCAGCTTCCCAGAGTGCCTAACCTGCTGCTGGGGATTAGGCACCCACTGGGACAATTGAGCTCTTCAAATGGCACTTGTTAGGCTTGGAGAGTCGCCCCAAATGTGGGCATATGGTGTGAAATCCCACCGGGAGGCACAACATGCTGCCTTCCGCACACAGGCTGAACCCAGAGGCTTGGGCTGCACCTGCTTTTGTGTGCTCAGCCAGGAACAAGACTGAGTTGGAAAAAGTCAAAGGGAAATAGAAGTCCAGATCACAGAGCGTACAGAAGAGCCCCACCACGCAAGGTGACTGTGCCACCACCATAAGGGAAACCAGGCAGGCTACGCTAACCAGTTGTTCTTCCCAGGGCTAACCTGTTCCACGTATAAACTCACACAATATAAGATCCACGAAAACCTAGCTGTATTCTGCCACGGATAAACTCTGAATGAGATAACTAGACTTTTCTGGGTACGAGGGACTTCCAGCTTTTCACATGCGTACTACAAGTAGACCTGGTTTGTATGGAATACCTTTTCATTCCTTAGTATCCCAATGCAAGGAACGAAAATGAGACAAAAAGGCAGCTCCGTACACATATAATATTATGAAGAAGCAAACAGCTGTCTCCCTAAACTCTGAAAGGCCTTCCCTCAGCAGGACGGCTGCCTAGCGAGCGCTTGTATTGGGCCCATTTTGTTTCAGCAGTCTCCTCATTATATGCATGACTGGGTAGAAGTTTGCAGAACACAAACCACTTTGGAAGCCATAAGCCTGTCAGCAGCTCATATCAGAAAGGTGTTTCTCTGCCTCTGCTCTTTGGGCTAAGTTTGAAATGCACGTTTAAGCAGCAATAAATGACACCCTCACTTACACGCTGGGGCGAGTCTGAGGTCGTAAATGTGCAATCTGGTCAGTGGGCCCCGCTGTGGGCCTGGGTCCTGTTCCAGCAGCAGCAGCAGCAGCAGCAGCAGCAGCAGCAGCGCCAGGCGGTGTGGAGACCAGGAGAGGGGGCGGGGGCAGAGGAGGGTTCATAGTCTGGTATAAGAACGAGAGGGAACAAAAAGGAACACAATGTTTATTTACATCTTTTATGGGAGGTGGGAAGGAAAAGGAATCAGAAATCCATGGGAAAAGACTTCAATGGAATCCAAACAGAACAGAACCAGCAAGCTACCTAAGATGAAAGCCTCCTTAAAACAAAATAAACAAACAAACAGCCCTCCCCCCCCCCCCACCACAAGACTCCCGTCTTGTTCTTCTTTAAGATCTTAAAGCCATGGCAATTTTTTCCAGCGAACAGGTAAGTAATCCTGCTTGGGAGGAGGGAAAGAAAGAAAAAAAAAAACACCACACGAAACAATTGTGTGTAATTTTAAGATGAATAAGACTTTTAAGTATAAGACTTGGCCAAGAATCCAAATGCTTTCCAAAGGGGCAGCTATAATGTCACACTGCTTGCTGGGAATTAATTTGTGATTGTTTCTGTAACTTGAAACTTAAACACAATGCAAAACAATAGGGCTGCACTATATCGCAAGCCATGCCTTCAGAAGAAAATTTCCTTTGATGCCTGCTCTCCACAAAGCCCAAACAATAGCAAGCCACAATCACTGGGCTGTTGTTGCTACTTTTGCTTATTCTTTTCTTAACTCTGCCAGCGTTTGAAATTTAGGACTATCAAGGCTGGTAATCTTTAACAAGTACACCAGTGAAAAGCTGCTGGTTCTTTTATGGGCACAGACTAATGGGGTTCTGCCTACAGGATTCCATGCCTTTTGGAAATCAATGGAGCAATTGTTACCTTCTGATCCACACACCCCAGATAATTCTTTAGGGTCTGTATACTGAAACTCCTGGGAACACAGGCACAGAAAGACCCGACTGAACCCCCACCCCACCCCACCCTCCCCAAATCTTTGAACCACTAGATGTAAAAACTGAATCCAAGGAGAGAGGAGGAGTCAAGAATACACCTATGAAAGCACAGATGGCTGAGACACATCAGCATATTAATAAGAAAAATCCAATGACTTCTAAACATAGATCCTAACAGTCATTTCATGTCTATTTTTTTGAAATAAAAACTTGAATCTCATCAACAACACTAACTGCATCTGTCTATTCAAGTACATAGCTCCACAAACATAATAAACGAAGTGGAACAATTTTCCAATTTCTAGACAAGCATGTTGCAACTGTCTCACACACTCTTATTTAGTTTTTTTGCTAAAGTGATTTCCCCCACACAGCAGCTGAAGGGGTGCAGAATAGCCAGTGCAGAAATACATGGGGCGCAGAGCTGCTTACACAGTGCTCACCCGGACGAGGCCAAGGGCAGCTCAGAAAGCCAGAGCTTCCAGGACGTTCGTCACGCTCCCCATAGGAACGAGGGCAGCATTCACATTTGTCACAGCTTTGGAACTGGCACAGACTTGGGCTCAGAGCCTCCAAACCCTTTAACCAGGAGAAGGACAAGCCTTCGTTCCATTTGCTCTCCTCCCAGTGACACAGTGGAGAGAAGGAACGCGAATCCTTGGTAAAACGCTCAGCAAACGTGACCTGGGCAGTTAGTTCGTGGGCAATGACACACCGGCGGCTCGACAGGTGAGGTAACAAGTCCAGACTGTACCGCGACTAATATACCACCGGAGATTATAAAATTACCACTTAGCTGGTTCCCATTTAAACCTTCCTAAACCCAAAACAGCGTGACTGTGGCGAGACAGAAGACAAATGGCACGTGCGCGACAAGAGCCGCGCAGTCACCGCTCCTAGGAATTCCTGAGCACAGTACCGAAGGCACAGAACCAAAAGGCTCCATTTCTCATTTTTTGCAGAACCCCATCTTTAAGAGGAAACGAAATGAACATCGCCTGTTTATTTTAACTTATTAAAACAGAGGCAGTATTAAATCGGTCCTAAGAAGAAGGAGGCAAGGACATCGACAGGTCTGATCAAAATATACATCACATTTTGTTAACAAAACGTAAAAATAGGTCACCTCTTGTATCACAGTAAACAAATGTTCCATGCATGTTCCTTTTACAAAGAGTAAACAGTAGGCATTTAAAATGTGGATAAAAGAGGATATTCTAAAAGACCCCAAAGGTTGTGCTTGAAACAGTCTTAAAAAATAAAAAATCGGACAGGATTTTTCCCAATGCTGGGTTACCCATCTTTGGGGAAATGTGCATATGTGAGTGCATGTGTATTCGTGGGTATAGAAGCACACAGACAAAGGCCAAGAGGGAGAGTCTGATTAAAATCAGATTCCTAGATGTTGCTCAGCCCTGCGGGGCTGGTAAAATGATAGGGCTCTGGTGAGGCCAGGGCTGTGACACACTAGGAAGTTCTGTGGGTTGCTTTATAAACAACCTCAACTGAAATAATCTGGCGATGTGGAAGTTCAAAAGGTAATCCGCTGTAGGTTACGCTTCGGGCAGTTTGCTATCCTGCAAGACCTGAAATTTCCACAGCGCAAACCACAGCCTTCCTTTCACTCACCCAGAGCTGACCCGGAGACCCGCCCGTCTTCTCACAGCCCGGGCCAGCGTGGCTGCAGAGGCCAACACGCACGCTCCACCAGCAGGAAAAAACAAACGCGTCCATGGCCCTGCTAGGAGCACAGGTGACACTTTGCTAATAATACGTCGTTAACGTACCACTGTACAGAACCAGATAGATACCACAGTGAAATGCCACGTTCACCAGCAACTGCATGGGTAATAGAATTGGGGCCTCACAAGTGTTCATCCCTTGAGTTTCACGGAAACTCAGCAAGTCTGTGTGATCAAGGTAAAGTTGTCCATAGCTATGGCCCAGGCCACAGAAATACTGATGTAGAACACGTGATGTTATTCTGACATGCATTAAAAATGAGCTTCCTGTTTCTGCAGATTCAGACCTTCCGTTTACCAGTATGTGGTAATGGTCTGAGGCGAGAATGACTACTTTTGAACAACATTTAGCTCAAATACAGGCCTTAGTGGTCAGCTACTGTAAACTGGTCATATTTTGAGTGTCCAGGTTCCCTCCCACGACCCTCTGATCTTGAAAGAAGATGAAGTTTTACATAGTAGAAGAATAGTTGTTGGGGGCAGAAAACACAGATTCTAACCCAGGCTCAGCCATCTAAGGCAGTCCTTGATGCCTCCCATTTGCTAGAGTGAGCACCAGAAAAGAAGTGCTCTCTCTCAGACTGGATTGCAGGCCACTGACCAGCCACATCTGCTACTGGACACTGTGCATGAAAAGTTCAGTTACTGGGTGTGAGACCCCTTCTTTTGCTCCTCCTTTTGCCCTTTCATGAAACCAGCCCAGATACTGTTTAAACGATCTGGATTTGGCCAAGGACAGACTGCAAGGTCCACTATGTCTTTTTATTTGTTTTTCTTTTGCTTTGGGTTTAATGTATATAGCAACCAGTAAAATCACTTGTCCAGCCCTGGCCCGTGTGCTCAGTGGTTAGAACGTTGGCCCATGTGAAAGGTCATGGGTTCAATTCCCGGTCAAGGAATTGGATACTTGGAATGCAGGTTGATCCCGTCCCCAGTCAGGGTGTGTGTAGGAGGCAACCAATCGATGTGTCGCTCTCACATCGATGTTTCTCTCTCTCTCTCCTCCCTCTTCCTGCCCTTCCTTCCACTTTATAAATCAATGGGAAAAATATCCTCAGGTGAAGATTGAAAAAAAAAAATCCTCTGTCCAAACTTCAGTAAGGAAGTTATTCTCATCAGGCAATGTCATCAGGATTGACACTGAAATAAGACCCAGTATCAAAATCCTGACACTTATAGTTAAGTACTGAAATGATATCTCTTCCCTGAAATGATATCTCTTCCCTGTTAGAATTAAAGTTTCAGACTTTAATTCTAGCCCCCATTAAAAGAAATATTTCTTAAAATTTTTTATTTTTTATTGAATTTATTGGGGTGACATTGGTTAATAAAATTATATAGGTCTCAGGTGTACAATTCTATAATACATCATCTGTATGTTGTATTGTGTACCCATCCAAAGTCAGTTTCCCTTCCATCACCATTTTTCTCCCCTTTACCCTCTTCGACCCCCCTTCCTCCTCCGATAATCACTGTTGTCTGTGTCCATGAGGACTGTGGATTTTTTTGCTTAATCCCTTCACCTTTCCCACCCAGCCCCTCCAACCCGTCCCCTCTGACAGCTGTCAGTCTATTCTCTTTATCTATGAGTCTGTTTCTATTTTGTTTGTTAGTTTATTTTGTTCATTAGAGTCCACATATAAGTGAAATCACATGCTACTTGTCTGACAGACTTATTTCACTTAGTATAACGCTCTCCAGGCCCATCCATGCTGTCGCAAAAGGTAAGATTTCCTTCTTTTTTATGGCCAAGTAGTATTCCATTGTGTAAATGTACCACAGCTTTTTATTCATCTACTTATGGGCACCTGAGCTGTTTCCAAATCTTAGCTATTATAAGTGATGCTGCAATGAACAGAGGGGTTTAAACTGGGGCAAAGACTTACCTGTAAAGTGCTTTGCACTGGAGTTTTAGCTACAAGGTCAACAGACAATGAAGGGTTCATTTTCTTTCCAACTGTCCCTTATGTGTGCATCCCCCTCACATACCTCCCAAAATAAAAAAGTGACCGAAGGACAGACTTGGGGCATTTCTGGATCCTATGGGCAAATACCACTTACTATCCCCCAACTCATAATTATTTCTTTGTAAATCTGATTTCCAGTCAACCCACTCTCAACCCTACACATGAACCTCTCTGGACAGCCTGTCCGTGTACTGGACACAGACGCAGGTGCACCAGCTGGTGATGAAACAGGCCCAGCTGCTGCTGGGCACGCGCCCGCCAGTTAACAGTGTTACCAGTTTCAGCAGCCTCACCATCTGCACAAGGCAGTGTGTGTACAATTAATTAAGTATTTTACCTTATTTTTTATGCAATGAGTAGAAAGTAGAAAGGTGAAAGTACTGATACTAGTGATTAAAAAAAATAATTTAGGTATCAGAATCCAATAAAATTAAGATAAAGATGAAAAGGAGTGAGTTGTCTCAGGTGGATGTTCACTGGAATTAAACCAGTCAACTGTGGGTACAGCTTTGAAGAAAAAACATTAAAGAATCTATCTAAAAATGCCAGAAGTCAATGCTTAGAAGATTATGTCTAAAGGGGAAGATGGAATTAAGAATTTTAAAAAAACCTCTTGGGGAATGGAATTTCGCTCACAAATTGTGTATTTATTGTTCTGCAGTTGATCTGTAAGAAGAGATACCTGTACTAGTTAATTGACTTTGTATAAATTACATAAGGTCTCCAGGCCTTAATATATGGGCCTGTGAGACGGCCTTATAATTAGAAATAGTTCAGGTGCGCTGCCTTTCCTGTGCCGGGAGCACCACAGAAGCTCATAAATGGCAGCTACGGTTGTGATTCGTGAGACTGGGAAGTCCGAGACGGCCTTACTGACTCATCTCTGTGCTGCCGGCACCGGCCTTGGCAGACAGAGATAACAAATCCTCAGTGAGTGTTTCACGAGTGAGAAAACATGCTGTGCCTCCATCCCTTAGAACAACGTGCAAGGATCCAAAGGCCTGTTTCTGAGATGCTGGAGTTCTTTTCTGTTGCTATGACGGTGTTGGCCATATCCTACCCCTCATCCTGAGGCTCAGAACTCCTGCCAATCCCAAAGGCTCTCCTTCTTCCTCTCAAACTGCCAGGATGGCAGTCCCATCCTTTCACTTCCAGAGACTTTCCCTGATCCTGTCGATTGCAGTAAATTCTGGACTATAATGAATTAATTACATATTGGCTCATCTGAGAACCTGACATCATTTACATTTTGTTTACTTTTTTAAACATATTTTTATTGATTTCTGAGAGGAAGGGAGAGGAAGAGATAGAGAGAGAGAGAGAAACATCAATGATGAGAGAGAATCATTAATCGGCTGCCTCCTGCATGCCCCATACTGGGGATTGAGACCATAACCCAGGCATGTGCCCTGCCCCGGAATCAAACCATGACCTCCTGGTTGATAGATTGACCTTCAATCACTGTCGTCCTTCAACCACTGAGACACACCGGTGAGGCTAATTTTGTATCTTTAAGCTGTGTGTGTGTGTGTAAGTAACATAAAAATAGGGTAACACATTTTTGGAATGTAATCTGTTTATAAGTTGGCTATGGGCTATATTTGGCCTTTAATGACCTGGGCACCCTGTGACATCTTACAGCTAAACACCTCTCAGCCAGCACAGAGGATCAGGGATTATGAATCACTTGTTTACAAAGCTCTCCTGACACTGTACAGAAGATACAAGACTAAGGGTTTCATCCTCCCCCCTTCCAAAAATTAGTTGGAAAAAACCCTTACTACTAATAATAGACTAATGTCTGAATCAGATAGATGTAATAACAGTTTGTTCCTAAGATTAGATATTTAACATTTTAATAGTTCCTTGTGAAATGTATGAGACAATATGCTCATAACTTCATTTGGCATAAAAGATTAAAAATTATCAATTCATAGAAAAAGCTTTCATTTTCTACTATAGTGGCGGCATTTATTACCTATAAATCCACGCCATGAAAAGCATGGTTTCCTTCCTACCAGGCTGCATGCTATTGCTGCAATACTGCTCAAAGTCTTGGGAAATACCTCAAATTTCAAAAAAGGATACTCGCCGTGATTAAGGAGAAATGCAGAGGGTACCGTCTCCTGAGAGTCTTTTAGACTTAAACCCAACATTTAAAATGCAAAACATTTCTGCCAACCTACCAGGGGCTTTGAGATCTAGACATCTCCTGGGATGACAGATATGTCTGTTTATAACTCGTTTTTCAGTAAGTGAAATTGGCACAGTAGACATACCATTTAATAAACCTTCCTCTTGCTTAACATGCAAGCTTTCTCATGGAATCCCAGGATGAAATCGCTGAATGTGAATTAATTTTTATATATTCATGCTCTGTTGTGACCTGTCCCCTTGACTGGCCTGACAGTGCTCCTCCAGCTAAGAGCAACTGGCCATTTCGCACATGGTAAAATTTGTAACCCACAAGGGGTGAGATTAGGCTCTGTGTCTTTTCCACTAATTAACTTTTCTAAGACCAGGAATATCAGGTTTTTTCCCCTGTTAAGAAAACAAGTCAGAGGCCCAGCCAGTGTGGCTCAGTGATCCTATGAACCAGGAGGTCACAGTTCAATCCCTGGTCAGGGCACATGCCCAGGTTGCAGGCTCCATCCCCAGTGTGGGGCATATAGGAGGCAGAGGCCCAGCCAGTGTGGCTCAGTGATCCTATGAACCAGGAGGTCACAGTTCAATCCCTGTCCTCTCTCTGAAATCAATAAAAAACACTAAAAAAAAAAAAAAAGAAATCAAGTAAGAATTTTCCATGCCAAGCAGTCATCTGGAATGGGAATACCAACTGGTTGTGCAAGTGTTGGGGTGGGAAGGGAAGGGGGGGAAAGAGGGTCCTCTCCAGAGGTGAGAGGGCAGGATGATTACGGTACTTGGCTCCAATCAAAACACCCGGGTGCTACCAGAATCTCAGGGAAACCACATGTCGATAAGTTAACTGAATTTCACCATCTCCCCAGATGGATTAATGCAACTCACCCTTCCAATCCAAACACTTGTACTATCAAGGAAGCTATAATGTTCTGGGAACATTAAAAAACAAACACACAAAAAACTACAACTTTGATCTTCAACCAGAACATTATTTTTTTTAATTTATTTTACTTATTTTTTTTTAATCTTTTGTTGTTAATCCTCACCCAAGGATAGTTTTTCCACTGATGTTTAGAGAGAGTGGAACATTGCTTGCCTCCTGTATGCATCCCAATCGAACCTGCAAACTAGGTATGTGCCCTGACTGGAATCGAACCAGCAACCTTTTGGTGCATGGGGCGACGCTCCAACTAATGGAGCCACCTGGCCAGGGCATAACCAGAACATTATCAACTTCCATGTAAATACAAGAACATGCTTAACTCTATAAAATCTTTCCAAAAGTCTAAGTCAAGCTAGGTAATAACTGCATTTATTTATATCCCACCTTGTTTCAAAGTCAGTTTTCAATGATTTATAAAATGTATCAAGACAAACATAAAAGAAGAAAAATGGGGCAAAAGGAAACTGAGGACAATAAAACTAGATGGAGGCAACACTTTGACTAATAACGTGGTGAGGTCCCAGCTAGGGAAGGGTACCAATTTGGCTCTAAGCATTCTAGCAGAGGGAAATATAATCTTTACAATATATATAAAATCCACAACCTAAAAATAAACCAGCTGCTTAGAAGCCTCACTATTCCTGGTACCAAGAGCAGAGAAAACCGAATGGAAAATGAACCAGGCCCTCCAAGGCATTCTTAGAGCAAACCAGTGGCACATGTCACAGGCCCACCTTGAAACAGTCGAAGAGGTCAATAACCAGATCAGTAATAGTCACCCCTCTCTCTCTCTACATTCTAGGTTCTAACTCTCCGAAGCAGGTACTATTAGTCTCATTTTACAGGTAGGAACACGGAGGCTTAAAGAGGCCACGTAACTTTCCTTGCTCATAAAACAAGTAAGTGGCTGAACTGGGCTTTCAACCCTGGCCTGTGCCCCGGTCACCGGGCCACACCATTTCTCTGAACGTATCACAACCAGGTGAGGTTGGGCAAAGCAATTTATAGGGGTGGGGTTCACCGGGGACATCTGATTTAGTGGTCTTTTCTATCCTCATTCAACTCCACACTGAAACAGTCTGAAAGTATAAGCCAAGGCACTGGCCTGGATGAGAGATGTCTCACAATGGCTGCTTCCTTGCCGTTCAATTGCCTGTAATTTTTGGAAACAGGGATTTAACGACTGTGTTTCTACTACCTGAGGTTGTATTTGCTTGTTTCTTCTCCAGAGTGATCTTCGTCTTTGTGTCTCTCTCCCTTGGCTGCCCTCATTCTTCCTATTAATTTCCTCCGTTAGGATGTTTTAAAGCAATTAGTGTTTACATTCTGTCCGCAGGATGCTATGTTTGCAGAAAGAAAATCAAACATAATCTAAGGGCTCTTCCATGGCAGCAGGGACCTCTGGGCAGCCATGGCTATGGTTATACCACAGAAGACAAGAAACTAAAAGGTGAATCATACATGGAGAGATTTAAAATCGACTTGGCATGTGACTCAAGAAAATCATTTAGCCAGCTTCCTCAGTATTTCTACTAATGTGTTTTTGTAAGAAGTAAGCAAGGTCTAGAAACTCAAAAGAAATAAAGGTTAAGCCTTCAGGAAATCAGGATGAACCATGATGAAAATTAAAAGGATTTTACCGAGTTCTAATAGTTTCAGGCCACTGATCCTCACTGTTAAGAACTTGGGCAGACCGCAGGCAAGAGATTCTATTTTGTGCGTGTGAGATTCACAGAGATAACAGATAAAAGATAAGAGACACACCCCACCTAGCATGTGCCACATAAACTGCAGGTGCTCGGAGGTGGAGTGGGCCAGGTTAACGTAACTAATCCCTAAGAGAGAAACAGAGACGGGAGAAACTATACTCACTCCAAGTGCAGCTGTGTAGGGGACATCTGATGGGAATGTGAACGAAGGGCCAGTGGTCACTGGGCTGCTTGGGGGTGGGGTCACAATTAACCCGGTGGTACTTATATGAACCTGCCAAGAAAAAAGAAGTTAATAAAAAGGTTACATTTAAAACATTTTTTTTATTGATTTCAGAGAGGAAGAGAGAGGGAGAGAGAGATAGAAACATCAATGATGAGAGAGGATCATTGATCAGCTACCTCCTTCATGCTCCTAACTGGGGATCAAGTCTGCAACCCGGGCATGTGCCCTGACCGGGAATCAAACCGTGACCTCCTGGTTCATAGGTCAAAGTTCAACCACTGAGCCTCGCCAGCTGAGCAAAAGGCTATATTTAATACAATAGATTATACCAGCTAAACCTTGGGAAGGCAAGTAACAATTTTTTTAAAAAATCTGTATTTTCTATTATTTTTGGAAGGCAGAATCCCTCTCATTTTATTCAACCCAAATGTACTGCTTACCTAATTTGTATGAAGACACTACAAAGTCACGTGATCAACACTGGCCACTGCAATGTTTTACATACAGAATTCAACTACGGCTGCCTTTCACAGGAGCATGCTACCTCGCCTGGGATGCTACCGCCAACCCAACTGGCTTTTCAGATGGTCAGGCCTTTGCTTCACTAGCCTCCTGGCAATTCCCCTCAAGATCCTGTTGGATTGGGTTGTGGCTAAATACTCACCTGCCTAGCAATATGTTAAATCTATGTGAAATGCTTGGTGTTCTGCTATTTTCAGAGTCACTTTCATGATTTCTACCTTCCAGTGGGGACACATAATTAAAATGCAGCTGCCTAGACCTGCCTACAGCAGACAATCCCTGATAAAACCTTTATGGGAATGATGTCAAGTCAAATCCACTGTTTTCACAGTGTCTTATCCATGATACTACCTAAGATTAATTTACTAGAAAGAAATTGAGTTATTCAGGTCAGTTCGTTGCCTGTGTTTGGTTACTTGATCACTTTCAGTCAAGTTGCACACAGGCCTGACTGCAGAGTGCAACAGCGTACTCCATGGTGCAGAACTAGGGACAGGGGCTCCTGCAAAAACTAAGTTTTTCCTTCGCTATTATTAACCAGTTAACTACCACGATATTTTGAACTTAATTAAAAAAGGTCCGCTGCTTCATCTATAGACGCTTATGGCGTACAAATGGTTAAAGAGATGTGCTTGGCTGCTGGTACCTTGTCTTCCCCTGGGAACAATGCTGTACCAAACATGCTAGGCCTTTTGTAATAAAAACTTAATCCCAAACATACTTTCGTCAATTCCCATAAATTAAGAGAAAGATTATCAGGACAAAGAAAAGCTCCAAGATTAGTTAGTTCCCGGAGGGCCTGAAGGAACTTTCAGTGTCCCACTGGGTTAGCCCCTGCCGAGGCCGGGAGAATCAGCATCCCAGCATCGAATTATTTTCACCAATAAATCTGTACATGGAATCCACGTCCTTTTAAAACCACCTCGGTACCTGTTAGCTCAGATTCTGATTGACCGAAGCAGATTCAAGGGGTGCCACTAACAAGCGTTTCTCTTCAAACCCTCATTTTCTCTCTTCTGTGAATCAAAGTCTATTTCTAATCAATCTGTAATGGGAAGCACAGAGGTTTTTCGTTCTTCGACTAAAACCTCACGGCCTGCCGCTACTTTATCCAATTAATCTTTTTATATACCCACTCCCAGGGCAGCTGCATGTGGGCACCACACAGAAGATGGGAGTCTTTCTTAGGAAATGCAATGACGCTCACTTCAAAGCGTGCACCAGAATCCAGGAGCCTTTAAGGGCAGACGAAAACCCGCCCCAAATACAGCTTCCCGGGCCTGACCTACCAATATCTAAAAAAGGTCTCACGATTGACTGACGTTTCCCTAAAAGCCCCAGACTGGGAGTCAGGATAATTAGCTGCTAATCAACTCATGATCTAGGACACAAGTAAGGCACTTCTGGTCTCTGGACCCCTATGATGAGCTGGACAGAGGTTCCCTAAGGTCTCTGGCAGCAAACGTAGGAGTGAAGCACCAAATTCGAGAATCTTGCCGGCCTCAGTTCAGCATCCTAGCACTGGAGCAAAGGAAGAGGGAATGGTCACCAAAGAATGACTCAAAGCAGAAGAAAAGTGGCTGAGGGTGTGCGTGTCCAGAATAAATCCCCGTGTGGGGACAACCTGACTTGACGCTGTGCTCAGCCTTTGCTCATGAAACTGCAGATTAGTCTCCCTACTGGAAAGGGCTATGCAGAGAGGAAAGAGGTGGGGGGAGCAAATGGAAATGAATGGGTGAATTTTCTTGCCTCCCCCGAAGCCACTGGCAATATACTGGTAGACATGCCGCAAAAACTCTCACTCTTATGAATCACTCCTCCAGCTGGCAGAGGCCAAAAAGTACCATGGGTGCGGCTAGAGGAGCAGACAAAATGTCTGGGTTGCTTGCAGCATCACATGCTTTTACAGGTGTTAGTCACAGGCATCTGTGCACGTCTGTTCTGATGACCCACCTGGACAGCGGGGCCGATACACAATCTGTCAACTTGCATACCGGAAAGTTCAGCCTTCACTCATTAGTCACCAAGTAAAACAGGAAGCGAACCCTTTGCTCCTTTCTTTGGTTCACTGCCCATCTTGTTGCCTGGAATTTGGAATTTGCCACCCAGAAACAGGAGGACAGGGACCTAACCCCTAACCACGTGGTGAAAAGGTGAGCGGGAAGGCCCCATCCCACCAGCACCGAACTGCCTCTATGTGGATTGGGTGAGATAACAACACTCACTTCTTTAGGCCCCTTGCCTTGGGTTTTTAAATAAATGAAACCAAACCTAACTAAGGAAAAGCAAGACAGAAGTATCAGGCCAATAGCAGGAGACATATTCAGCCACGGGCCTCAGTCAACTCTACTGAGAGGTGCTTTTCTGGGGAGAAGAGAAGGAGAGCCCTACTTTAAATGTCCTCCCAAGCGCCGTCTTCCCATCTCCACTCATCTCCCTGGCAGGAGCGTGTTTGCTGGCCACACATGCTACATATACTCATCGCTCTGCTGTGGACTGTGGTTCCCTCCCATGTACATAGCACCCAGACAAGGAGTGTTTTCTGTAAACCCAGGCGGGAGGAACCAGGCAGCACTTCAAACACCTCCCATCCTCTTCAAGACAAAACTTCTCCCCAGGCAACATGCTACGACTGAAAACAGGAGGAATTGGAACATGGGAGGAGTGGGGCATGGTTGAAGGGGAAACTGCTTTCACGGAACAGAGAACCAGCCTTGTTTCCTAAGCTACTCAAACCAAAACAACAGTCGCTCCACCTTGATCGTCTCCGTTCCCAGCTCTAGTGTGGCAGCGTCAGGCAAGCTCACACCCGACAGCCGTGTTCGCCAGCAAACATATAAACGCTGTATTATCTTCCTTTCTCTTCTAATTTTCTCTATTGCCAGGATGACTGTCTATTCTTTTAAAGCAATTCCCACTGTGAGCTGCCATTATACTTAGCGAACACTTATCTTTTATTTCAAGAAAACATCACTGTGAAAATGTTGCTAGGTCACACATAAAAAAACACACTCAAATGATTCTCTTTTCTTTTGGTGAATGGCCACCTTGACTAGCCTCCTCCCTCAGAACCTCATTCAAAATCTTCAGTTTGGACTCTCTCCAGAGGACCCTCACTTGGTACTTGGTGCTCTGATTTAGTCTATCATTCAGACAGCTAGTAACATGTAAAACAGCACGGTGCTCCTCTCTACCCGTTATTCAAGTGACTCGTTCATTCAACAAATAGTTACTGTGTGCTTATTGTATGTCTGCCATTTGGGATGTATCAGTGAACAAAACAAAGACCTCTGCCCTCATCACCCTCATGTTCTAGTCCTGTGTGTGTGTGTGTGTGTGTGTGTGTGTAATTATTGAGTGCTTATTGTATGTCTGCCATTTGGAATATATATCAGCAAATAAAAGAAAGACCTCTGCCTTCATCACCTTCATGTTCTAGTCCTGTGTGTGTGTGTGTGTGTGTCCTATTTCCCTCATAAGATCAAAAGTTTCATGGCCCTACTGCCTAAAACACAACAAAACACAATCTCATTCAGAGAATGAAAGCATTTATCTCACAACCTACAGCATGAATCTAAAGGAGCAAGGTCAAATAAATGAGTCTGAGAGAACATAGTTTTTAGTAATATTAGCAAGGAATACCAAAATTTGTGGTCCAAAACAGATACTTATTAAACTGGGTAGGTTTCTTGAGGATAAGGACTATGTGTTTGCTGGCTTTCTTTTTTTTTTTGAATTTTTATTTATTGATTTTGAGAGAGAGAGAGCAAGAGAGAGAGAGACATTGATTTGTTGTTCCAGTTATTATGCATTCATTGGTTGATTCTTGTATGTGCCCCTGACCAGGGAGCAAACCCCCAACCTTGGTGTATCGGGATGATGCTCTAACCAACTAAGCTACCTAGCTAGGGCTGTTGCCTTCTTTCTTTCTTTTCTTTTTTTTCTTCTTTCTTTCTCTCTCTCATTCTCTCTTTCCCTTCCTTCCCTTCCCTTTCTTTCTTTCTTTCTTTCTTTCTTTCTTTCTTTCTTTCTTTCTTTTTTTCTTTCTTTCTTTTCTTCCCTTCCTTCCTTCCTTCCTTTCTTTTTCTTTCTCTCTCTCTCTCTCTCTCTCTCTCTCTCTCTCTCTTTCTTTTTCCCTTTAAGGAAAAATACTTTATTTTTATGTGTTTTTTTTTAAATCACAGCTATAAATACTATAGAGTAGAATATAAAATCTGCATAAATTTTTAAAATAAAACATGAGCTTTGAAAGAAATTCCTCCCACTTGTGGCAGGCTACTTTGGACTAGGCTCTCTGGACTTTGGGTTGAAAAGAATACAGCTATCACCTAACTGGATGACTACAGCAGGGCACAGCGAGGCTCACGTTGCAGTCTAGAATTAAGCCTGGAACAGGAAAGTCCCACATCTTATTTTGTTTGGTATACGCAGTTCCATGAAGGCTCTACAAGAAGGCACCCAGTAAAGGTTCATCAAATGATTAAACCAATGTTCCCCATCATCTTGAGCCTTTTTATTAACACAAGAATAATATGTAGCTATTTTTTAAGACAGTCGAAGTCTTGATGAATTAATGAGCTTTTAAAAAATGCTAGGCCAATTTCTAACTTAAATTAAATGTTTCTTTATGTCCTTTTTCTGGAACTCTGACTAAGAAGCCCAAATACCAAGGTAAGTCATACAGATGTAGGCAACTGCAAACTTCATGAGTTTTGACAATAGCATCTTCAGTTTGGATGGAGATAAAAGTTTTAGTTGGCAAGAACTCCTGAAACAGCTTTCTGTAAAACTGAGTGCTTAGTGAGACTGATAAGTATTATTTAATTCATCTTATAATTTCGGATCTTTCCTTTGAAAATGCCTGCGTAGCTCTGGGTGAATATGCTCAAGTCATTTCTCCCTTCTCCATTTTTCCACCTGCAAAACGAGAAAGGCTTTGCTCCCCAGGAGAGCTACTACCTTCCAAAGGCAACAATAAACAAGATCTTTCGGCTGGTGAGCAAAGTGACTAGATCTCTTTGTGGCCGACCTCTTTTCCTGCCTTTTGGGTGACCCACCTGAGAAGGGGCGCTGCAGGAGAGCCCGGACAGCTCGCTGATCCGCGCGGCGGCCGTGGGGTTGCTGGAGCTGATGAGGACAGGGGGGCTGATCTCCATGGAGTGGCGGTTCTGGGACGCCTGGGAGGATTTGTTGGCCATGGTGAGGGACGTGAAGGAGTGCCGCTTTTTGGTGTTCTTCTTGGTGTCGGAGTGCTTTGAGGCAGTGCTGCCCTGAGCTGCTGCCGAGGTGCCTTCTCCAGCATCAGCTCCTGGCCCAGGAGGCTTATCCCATTCTATGAGCTGCTTAGCGGCCGAGTTAAACTGCAAACCAACAAATTAGTACAAGTTAGGCAATTCTCAAGGACGCACTGACATTTATTTTCAACATGCTTTTTAAAAATCCTTACCCAAGGATACATTTATTGATTTTAGAGAGAGAGAGAGAAATACTAATATGAGAGAGAAACATCAATTGGTTGCTTCCCATACGTGTCCCGATCGGAAATAAAACCTGAAACCTAGGTATGCACCCTGACCTGGAACTGAATCCAAAGTCATTTGGTGTACATGCTCCAACCAACTGCGCCACCAGGCCAGGGTTACTTTCAACATATTTTCATCTAAAATTAAACATCACCACTTTAATGTTTGCATATGCAAGTGGGTATATATTTTTTCCAAGTGAGATACTTTTTCTCTCAATACTGGGATGCTAAATCAAGAAGAAACAGTCAAGAGCAAGACTGACAAGGTTAAGAAACATTTTTTCCCACGAATCTTTGGAATATTTAATTTTTAAAATTGTCATTAACAGATGAAGATTTATTTTAGTTCACTGATGAAATTTAGAGAAGAGCAATTAGAAAGGGTATGTTTGTCCAACTGATGACGCTATTGTCCAGCAATGGCTGGGGGTTTGCTGGAAGCACAACTGAATATCCAAGGGGCAACTTCTGGCCTTGGTAAAAATGAGCAAGACAATGAAGAATGAAACCAGAGATGTTAACTCATCTACTTCCATACAAATTTGGGGGAGCCTCACAAAACAGTTGGTAAAAACTCTTGATATATATTTTTTCACATCATCGTGTCAGTTATTAAATTTTAAATCATAACAGGGTAAGACATGAGATTCACATCCTGTTGGCAAGCGACCTTACTGTATTTGACAAGTTGCCTGTGTGTGAATGAAGTAATGGCCCAACGGGTGGCAAGCTGTGCACTGGGCTGATAACACCAGCAAGAAAGGAAAGAACCTAAGGGTTTTGTTTTCCCTGAGGTAAAATATGTTCCGGGAAAGCATCAGTGAAAACAAGCTGCATATAACTTACCTAGATAATAGAATAATGGGAAAACACCGAGTATAATTTAACTCTCATGAAACACAGAGATAAAAAAATAACTTTTTAAAGGTAATTTAGGTAATAGGAAAAGTAACAGCGCTTTTCCCACCTCCGCACTGCCTGCTGAGCACTTCACAAAGACCTTTAGATTAACATCACCAAATGCTATTTTTCACCCACCTAAATGGTTAGGACCATGTCTCTTCATCCTGTTGATGCCAATGTCCTACTAGCCGAATGGGAATCCTGCTGGTCAGTATTTAATTAACAGTGAACTTGCTCTGCTCACAAAGCTGTATTAACTGCAGCTCAATGCGCAGTGCTTGTATAGATGATTGCAAATTGATTAACAGTTTGTCCCTGGATTCCCCCAAAGACTCGAATTCATTGGGTCTGTCTGATCTATAACTAGTAGGGCACATCTTTTTCAAATATGAGCAAACCTTTCCTTCAGACTTCCAGGATTTTTTCCACGTGATAGCCTGGAACAGTAGCACCTATCAATGCCTGAGGCACCCATGGCAGGAGAAAGAAACCATGTCTCATTGTGCTACATGTTTAGGGATGAAGAAGTGAGGTACTTTTAAAGGGTAGTCTTACAATAGCATTACAATGGCATTTGACCAAGAGATCCAGAATTTACCAATCCCACCTTAGTTTAGCCATCTCACTTTCTGGGTGGTCTCCAAGACAATCAAATACCTCAAGGAAGCAATGCAATGTCTTATTTTTTGTGGTGGGAATTGCCCAAACCTCGGTGTGGAGTGCTAATAAACCTCAGCAAACCATGTGGTGGTTGGGTCCTCATTCCTACACAAGCTGGGAAGGAGGAGTCTGAAATCCAAGCAGACAAAAGAGCTGCTCCATTCCCCTCATTCTAAACTTGTCACCTCAAAGAGAAGGCCAGTCACCCACCAATGCCAGAGGACAAGGAGTCAGAGAAAGCCTTCTTCCAGTGTAAGCTCATTTAGTTCCCAAGGCACGAATCTGCAAAAGCATGACCTAATCAATGTACTAAAATCTCCTGATTAGCTCAGCGGCACTTCTGTTGCACTGAATAGAAATAGGAAAGGGACTGAGTCGACTTCCTCCTCATCGAGGCCACAAATATGACTAGAGAAAACTATTGCATCTGCTTGGTATCATGGTTGAATTGATTCTGAGTCAAACCATAGGCTCCAATAGCAGTGTCTGTATTGAAAAGGTCTGAGATATTACCAGAGTCTAGTTATGGTCATACCTAGCCAAGTGTCAGTTACAGTTAATATTGTGCTAATATTTCAGGTTTCCATATGCTGTGCTCTCATAAAAACTTCTGAGAATTATGCCCTGACCGGTTTGGCTCAGTGGATAGAGCGTCGGCCTGCAGACTGAAGGGTCCCAGGTTCGATTCCGGTCAAGGGCATGTACCTTGGTTGTGGGCACATCCCCAGTAGGGGGTGTGCAGGAGGCAGCTGATCGATGTTTCTCTCCCATCGATGTTTCTAACTCTCTATCCCTCTCCCTTCCTCTCTGTAAAAAATCAATAAAATATATTTTTAAAAAAAACTTCTGAGAATTAATTACTGTTCCCTCTATTTCCTACTGCTTCTCTCAATAGAAAAAAACTTGGATGTGCCTTTTTCTATATCCTATACTTTCCATTACAACAACTACACTTTGAGCACCTGCTATGTGCCAGATAATGTGCTAGGTGCTGGAGATCTACAGACGCAGAGAAATGGTCCCTGACCTTAAGGAGTTTATAAGCAGACATATAAATAGAACACAAGTGCGCTCCATAATTTCCTATGTCTCGCTTCTTTCACTCAACAACATGCTCCCTCCTCACCCCCACTTCCCC